TCCTCTTCCATCACTATCCATGTGTGCGGGAAACCCTGTCTTTGAAGATACGTTTTAAGACGTCAATGGCACACAAGCTTACTACTTGATTCCATGTCTTTGGACGTGAATGGTGTTCTAACACTCACCTCCATTCAAAGAGGAAGCATGCCTTTCATCTGGAATTTTTGTAGGCTTAGGGCAAGCCCCGGCGATCCAATATGGCACGTCAAATGAATGGTTTGTGCTCAGTGGCGCTTTGTGCCGGCACGGGGACTGAAAGATTAGCGGAACTCCGCCTGGAACTCGCAAAGATCCATGGGAAACTCGCCTGTATTTGGGCATCGTCTGGTCCTCCCGGTTCTGCACAGTGGATGATCTCCCATGATGCGTTGCGCCAAATACGCGTGTGTGGCTCTCATGCACGTGCACAGAGGAGCTCGGCCGCGCTCTGACCAAGAGCAGTTCATCAGAGCGGGAGTTAGAGCGGGAGTGAGACGGGCAGAGTTTGCGGCACTAAAGTGTGGATTTAAAGAAAACCGAATTAAGAAGAAAAACAGTTCAGGATGACAAGGGACACTAAAATCCCCACAAAATCCGACCTTTATGAAAGCTGTAGGTTCTCTGTCAGCTCAGGTCGAGCTGTTTTAGTTTACAATGAGTTCTATGGGGAACATTTCTGGGTAGCCTACATGAATTTAGTCTGGTTTGTCTGCAGTACCGCGAGAATCCCCCGAGCACATGGCTTCTTCAGCACCAAGCTAGTAATACCCTATCCAGTTATTATAATAGATCCATGGACCAATGTCACAAGTTACATGTTGCGCGTAAATTACCTGGTCTGACAACCCCTCCCACGCTGAGGAGATACTTTGTAGGTAGCATTTTTAATGGAAAAGCACTCACACTCGGCTGCGCCGTGCTGTACCCTACCGTGCTGTACCGTTACTGTGGAAAAGCGGCATTGGATGGCACTACAATGCTTAAAAGTTCCTTCTAAGTGGAAGTCTACAAATCTGTGCGGTGGCCGCGGATCTGCAGGACGCATAACGACATCCAGCGTCCCCAATATATATATATATATATATATATATATATATATATATATATATATATATATATATACAGTATATAGTTTATATTGACATTATAGTGGTAAGTGAGATTCTAGCTAAGTACTCCCGAGGCTGCAACACAGGCCTTTGATGTTAACGAGTTTAAGATATCAGCTTTTCTTGTAGTTGTCCACAAGTGCAGCTCTGCGGTGAATCGGTCTCGAGATCTTTGACTTCCAGAGACATCAGATTACAGCAGTATCTGCTCACAGAGCTGCGTCATGTTTAATCCTGTTTTTTTCCTATAGCTTAGCTCATGATTTGGCTGTTTTCAAGTGTCTTCATCTTCCTGCTCTGTCCGGCTTGTGTCCCTATGATCAAATTGCTGCTCTCTGATTGGTTGTCGCACGTGCAATATTCATCCCGCACCAACATACGTCACTATTGACTTTGCATGTAAAGTTCCTGCAAAGGATGGTCCGGTTTTCTTGCTAACCGGACCATTCCTGCTAAGGATGGTCCGGTTTGAGCGTCCCATGTGACACATTTCTGATCTGTGAGAAAGTTGAACGTTCTATGAGGTTGAGGTCATTTTAGTTAACATTGAGGTCTATAAACTATGTCCTGGGTTGCCCTGGTGAGTTTCGTCTGCAGAAGTTACAGGCTTGGGTTACTTTGCAAATATTGTGTCTAATGTATAACTTAGGCATCATTCCAACCCACTGTTCAAAACTAGAACTGTTTGGAATGATTAAGTGGAAGTTATGAAAATGAGATAGGCGTGACTACGCCCGTTAATATTCACAGAGTAGTAGTTACAGCAGTAGGAGCAGCAGTGACACATCAGACTCTTATTGTTTGGACTTCAGCTTTATTTCCATTGGACAAAACGTTCAGTGAAAAATAAATAATTTTATGATTTTATTTCTTAGCTGAAAAAAAAACAACAAAAATGAATCTTGTGGTCATCGTGACATGGAGAAACTTTTAAAACACTTTGGAAAGAAAAAACACAAAACAATTAGAAACAAGCAGTGAGTGTTTTACACAAACATCAGGTGAATATGAACCGTGCTCTCGTCTCGTCTGGGTCATGCTCCAGGTAAAGCTGGGGTACGTAACTTTCAAACCACAACACTAAACTAGTTTATATATTACTGGTTCTAAAACGTTTTGGTTTGGGTCTGGTCTAGGTCTAGTCTAGATCAAACTCTAGGTCTGGGTCTAATAGTTTGCTTCTATCACTTATTTTTTCACAGAGAGGACCACACTCACTCACCCAATCAGCCCTCAGCCCAAAGAGAAAAGTTTTTCTAAACACAATAAGTCTAACTATGTAAAATCCATCTAACTTCTCACAACTCAAAGAGTCAGATAGTGACTCACAGGGCTCTTTCTACACTTTATCTTTACACTAAAGATAACATATTTCTAATGAGAGGAAGACAGCAGGCTGTAGTCTGATTTGTTCACATCATTTGACTTTTACAAGACTCTTTCTTGAACAGGAGTCATGGGCACCTCCCACCGGGAGGAGACCAACCATGGAGAGCCCCAGGAGCCACGGAACACGCCAGAATTCCGAAGTGTGTGGGAAGTCTTGACGTCTCTGCTCAGACTACTGTCTCTGTGACACGACATTGGATAAAGCAGAAAAAAAGAAGGGATGATTCTTTCTATTGAGCAAACTACATGTGTTGTTTAATAAAAGCAAAGGTAGGTACCCTTGCTTTAAGCCTGCAAAGACATGTCTATAGATTAACATGATGAGCAGCCTAACGGTAGAAATGGGACATAACACTTTTATAACTGTCACAGTACAAGAACGTGAGCGCAACAAGATTGAAAGCAGAGCATTTGAGCAGAAGGGGCGGGGGAAATTTTTTGACATTGGACACAAACACATTTCTGCTTTTGTTCATGAAGTTTGTTCAAATTCACAAACGAGACTAAGGTAAAATGGACTAAAATGAGACATAATTTACATTATATAAAACCAACATCATATTTTAAAGTAGCAGGCGTCGTCTTTACAAACTTTGTGAGTAAAAAATATTGTAACAAAAATAATAGAAAAACACTTTATAAAAATCTGCGTTTTCATGGAGACACATTTAAAAACTTAGTTCAAAAAACATAATTAATTTATATCTGCATATGTCCCACCCCTTCAGGTCCTTTGTAATGAGGCACTTTGATAGACACAGGAGCCGTCCAATCACAGGAGAGCTTCAGATGTGTTTCAAATGTAACGGATTTTATTATTCAAAAATCTAAAAAATCAACATGTTCTCTGTTTGTCCCTTTAACATGGTCTTGGGAATATTCTCTTTGGCTTTTTTTGTTTTTTGAGTTTAGAGAAAATATATGTATAAACATGTAAAATGGAATAAGAGATGACCAGGATGAGGAAACACTCAAGTGGGACATTACAATCTGTTTTCATGATTTATGTATACGCAATGGGACAGTTGTCGAACGCCCTAATAAGGATTTGTACTACACATTTTAAACTCCTTCTTACCTTATTTTGAAAAAAAAAAATCATCTATTTGTATTATTTTATGATTTCTTGTAAAAACAACATACCACCAAAGACCATGCAGACGGTCAATGATAGATAGATTTATTACATACTCGTATTAAAGCCATATATCTAGCCCACTAGGTCAACAAAGCCCAATTGTGGGGAAGTTTTGCTCTTGCTCCTCTTGAATTTAATGTAAAAGTAACTCCTCAAGCTGTTTGTGTCAAACTCACAATTTTGGGCTTAAATCTGTGCTTTCATGCTCTCTGTGATCCTGGTGTTTATATTGTGATATATTGTAAATCCAGATATGAGCCATAAAAGCATTGACCAATAGAAGGTAATTGGTTCCAGCTAGCTTATGTTCAGTCCACTCCTATTGTCAGGTCTATAAGTCACTTGTTTCTGGTACTTTTTGAGATGCATATTTCATATTCACTAAGAACTAATGGGAGTGTTGCTTGTTCAAGTCATCTCTTATTGCATTAAACATGTTTAACTATACAGTAGAAAACAAAATTGAGCTCTGTGGCGTTCTCTCACAATCACACTGCAAAAAGAGAGACTTTGTTTGAATTAGGCAATGATGATTGTAATTCAAGAACATTTTGACTGTTAAAACAAGATTTTAACTTGAAGGTATATAGGAGGGTTTTCCTAAATTTGAGGAAAAAAACTGCTCTTTCCACTTTTTGAACAAAACTCACTGGTCTTATTTGATGAGCACGTATCACCAGAATGATTGAAAATTGGGAGGACCAATTGTCAAGAACTTCTGAAAAAAATGTAACTGCCCCTTCTGTCGATACCCTGTCTCATTCCTGTAATAGTATGATGTCATTGTACCACTATCGCCCTGTTTTCACCAGCCCTACTCACTGTACTCTACTGTATTCCACTGTACTCTTCCTGGTTGCGTTTTAATTTAGATTTTTTATCTGGTACTGTATCTTAGCAACCTATTCACAACATACCAGTACACAGGGAAATTCCTTGGTAACCATGGCTTCCACACACTTGCCACTCGCTGTCAGTTAGAACACTTTAACACCATGGTGGATAGAACCAGGACCAAGCGGGACTAAAAAAGGACTTGGTACTGGTTTAACAGGGGCAGTAGAAACACTCCCAGTCAGTGGAGAGTAGAGAAGGGCTCAAAAATTAGTTTTGGTAATTTCTCAGGTGAAATTACGTTCTTTATGTTTTAACATGTCTGTGTTTGCAGCTCCCTCTGGTGGCAGCTCAGGGACAGGCAGAAAGCATTGTTTACCCTTCATACTTGTTTCACTATATCTATTTTATATTAGATTTGTTATTTTCAGTGAAAACATGAAATGCCAAAGTGAATATTCTCAGATGTGCCAGAATGAGCACAGATCTGGCTGAATATGTCTCCCTCTGCTGGTTCTGGTCCATGAGGCTTGGTCCTGGAGAAGCCTCTACACCCTCCGCCTCCTCCGCCTCTGTCCCCCCTGCAGCAGAGGGTCTTGGGGGTCCAGTGGCTGCGGGACTGGGTAGTTGGGCTGGTAGTACTGGTACGGGTCCTCCTCGTCTGCAGTCTCCTCGCCGTAGTTTTGGAACACGTTGGATGGCAGTTGGACTGAGGGAACATTAGACCGAATCACTTCCTCCTCGCCCTCTGCGCCGACCAATCATGAGAGATGATACGGGCCCGCCACCACCACAGGAAGCGCATGTTTTATTGGTTAGAAAGCAGGAAGGCAGAGTTATTGATGTTACGGACAAACAGACGAAAGGCCCATTCACACTCACTGCATACAAGTGTGTAAACTTAATATTGTTTGTTTTGAATATTTTTTTCTTTCATTCATGAACTGCAGGTTAGATGTAATCCTGCGAATCCACATTTCTTTCTTCATCCAAGTTAAGTTTTAAGTACTTTTTTAGACACATAACCAACAGCAAGACAAAGGTTTAGCTGCAAAAGAACAAACACTTTCACTCCATCTAGATCAGAGCCATTTGTTTAAAGGTACACTGTGTAATTTTTAGTGCCATCTAGCGTTGAGATCGTTTATATTGCAGTCCAAGCTCTCTACGGAAGCCTTTGATAGAAAATGTGTGTCTTTGACAGTGCGCCTCAACTCTCAGTCATTCACAGACTGCCAGGGAAAGAATCCTGTAGTTTGATAAATGACCGGATCTCTCCAAACGTCTCGGGCACTTGACAGTCGCATGGAGGCGACATGTAAACAGGACCGCGTTCTGAAGAGAGGTTCTATTGAGTTTCACCATGGAAAACTTCGATGATCAGTGAAGCAGGACATACACACAGCCACAGCAGGACAGCTAAAAGCTCATGTTATTATTAGCGTTAGCCACAGCGCCCTATGTGCATCACGGCAAGAGAACAGAACATTCACTCACTCTGCCGATAAAGTATTCAGCCGATTGTTTTGTGGGGATTCTCTGTGTTTTATTTGAGGCTTTGTCCCTGAATAAGTTTAGTTGAAACTTGTGACATAGTAGTTGGACTGCGCTCGGATCGAGTCAGAACATCCTGAGACTGTGTTGCAGATTCTGCCTTGTTCTCATTATTGTCAGTGTGAAAAAGTTACGTATTGTTCACGTGTGAGTCTGTTGTGTACAACATGGTGGAGGTAAATATTCTTAAATAGGTCACATTTGGTATTAGTTAACATGTTTTTTCATATGGAGCAACTGTAAAAATTACACAGGGTGGCTTTAAAGGTTAGTCAAAACTATGCATGTTGTAGTTAATTATTGGCAAAAGTCTGTTTGGGCAAGAGGGAGACTTCCTGTGATTTAAAGGAGAGCACTGGGACCTCAGTTTGTAGGGAAACAAAACATTATATGATGGTATCACGGTACAGACACTATAGAGCCCTGAAGACTGTTGTAGATTTCCTCAAAGGAGTTTTGTCTTAGCCTGAAGACTTGAGGAAATTTGTGGAGGCTGGTGTGCTCCTGCTTAGTTGGAATGAAAACCTGCAGCCACTTGGCCCTTTGAGGACCTAGTTCAAGACCCCTAACGTAGACAGTTAAAGAATGAGCATCGCCAGCACTTTGTCAGTCCACTCCAAAATATACAGTCTGTGGTCTAGACCTGGGGTAGACCTGGTCCAGGCCTTGTCCACACCTGGTCCAAACCTGGTCAAGACCCGGTGCAGACTTGGTGCAGACCTTGTCCAGACCTGGTTCAGATCTGGTCAAGTCCTGGTCCAGTCCTGGTTCGGACCTAGTCCAGAGCTGGTGCAGTACTGGTTTAGTTGATTTCAGTTGATTGAAATTTGGATTAGCCACTCGCAATTGTTAATGATATTGTTTTAAATGACAGCTAATTTCGGGCCAATCAGAAGTTTATCTATTCAAGGTGCATTGAGAAAACGATGTTTGCTAAAGCCTGGTTCACATGGCAGGATAATTAGGCCGATTTTGGACCTGATTTACCCCTAACGACAATCTTAAGAACGCTCCGATTATCGTAAAAAAATCTGATGGATTATCCTGCCATGTGTGGTGTCTTAAGACTTGGGGATATCCAACATGTTGGATTGTTTTGGCCCGATTTCTCTTCGTGTGTGGTGTCCTCCGAGGACAGACGAGCACATAACAGTCAGTGGCATAAATATATACAGTATAGTCCGAGCTTGCGTTGTTTCTATTTCCTTTGATAACACTTTTTCTCTGTTAAAAACAAACTGCAAAGTAAGTAAGTAAGTAAGTAAGTAATCTTTATTTATATACCGCCTTTCACAGACCAGAGTCACAAAGCGGTTTACATTTGTTATTTGTAACAAACTATCGCCACTGCATCCTCTTCGCCCGCCATGATTGTTTACTCTGAAGTCACGCTTGATCTTCCGTCTAACCTGGGAAGGCTCAGGGGGGGAAATCGGTTTGTGTGTGGTTTGCGTGATTTTGCCGTGCAGCTGCGCACCACACACTGTACAACCAAAGTGGTTAGACCCTTGATTTTTCATCTCCGTGTGTGGGGTCTCTCAGGTTAGGAAAATCGGCCGACAATTTTAAAATCGTCTTGTGTGAACCAGGCTTAAGTTAATCATTTGCATAGTGTTTTTCGGACCTCGTGGTTGTTCTTGGAGTGTGTTATAAAAAAGTGAGGAGTGGATGGACTGAAGTTACATAAAAGAACCCTGCTTTACTGGCTATTATTACATTAGTGAACTGCAGATATATTTTTGGCACATCTGAATGTATACTCTTTTGTTTTTAAGTGATGCTAAGAGCTAATATGTTAACTACTGTGTGCTAAATATCATCGGTGTGGTATTCTCGTGTACATATTGCGTTAGTTAAGTAGCTCATTCTAATTTAGACTTTCTTTCAGTTATTTGCAGGACCACACATACATAAATAAAGAACCAATCAGATATAGATTTATAAAGGTTAACCAGTGTGCATTGAAGAAACTTTAATAAACCCAAAAACTGGATCATCCCTACGCTGAGCATTCTGACCGATGCTTCCTGGTGGTCACAATCCCTATTAAAAACCAGATAACTCTCTCTCCCCATAACATCCAGTGTCTTCCGCTCTCAGTCCCAAACCTTCATTGTAAAAGAGGGGTCCACAAAGCTCACGTTGTGTGTGAAGTGAGAAGTTTACTTTTAGAACATACAGTATTTGAGCTCACAACAGCCACGCTAACATGTTCTGCTACTTTTTTTAAATGGCCTCCTCGTGTAAAGCAACAAAATGTTCAGAGTTCCACGAGAGCCAGTACCCAGTCTTCCAAAAGAAGAGCCCCCAAAACTGGGCAAAAAAAAGCTTGAATCAAGTGGGGATTTTGCTGTCTGATTTGATGTTTCCTGGGGTATCCTCACAGTGCCCCCTCAGGCCTGGCACGTACATTACATTGCTCTAAGGTATATGGGATTTTGGGTTTAAAAACCGTTTCGTCTTTGTCTAGACAGGAACTAGATTTTCTTTTTATTGTTTTTTTAAAAATACTTTGGTCCCTATTTGGTTTCGTTTTGGATTTTATTCTGCCTTTTTGTGTTTTGGATTTGCGTTTATTACAACGAAGATGGCGCCTCGTACGGTCGACGGTTCTTTGCTGCTCTCTTTTTCTTTTGTTTTTACTTTTTAATTGCGCATCTGGCTGTTCCTACACCCGTGAGGAACTTATGAACATCCGACCCACCGTCCCCATGGACCTATTGCCTGTTTTCTTGGCATCTGCGGCTGATTTAGTCCATGTTCTAGCCAAAAAAGTGTGGGCCCGTAAAAGGGGAAAGCGCGGAGGCCTGCTCGTGCGTCTTAGGAGGAGAGGAGAGCGCACCGCTCTCCCCGGCATTTTTCTCTCCAACGTACGCTCACTGGGCAATAAGATGGACGAACTCAGCCTGCTCATGAGAAGAAACAAGGACTTCGCCACATCCTGTGTCCTCTGCTTCACTGAGACCTGGCTAAATGAGCGGATACCGGACTGCGCTCTGGAGCTGCAGGGCTTTGGGCTGTTTCACGCGGATCGCCATTGTGCGCTATCAGGGAAGAGCAGAGGCGGTGGGCTGTGTTTCTACGTCAATACAAACTGGTGTAACGATGTGACAGTGATCTCCAAGCACTGCTCTCCTGCTCTGGAATATCTTTTCATTCATTGTAAACCATTTTACTCCCCTCATGAAATTGTTTCATTCATTCTTGCCTCTGTTTACATACCGCCATGCGCGGACGCGCGCGAGGCTCAGCGTGCACTCGCAGAGCAAGTACTGTGTATGGAACGTTTATACCCGGACTCTCTGATTATTATCCTGGGGGATTTTAATAAGGGAAACTTGAGCCAGGAATTACCCAAACACAGACAGTTTATCGAATGCCCGACCAGGGAGGAGAACACTCTGGATCACTGTTACACCACCGTGCGCGGAGCTTTTCGCGCTGTTCCCAAGCCAGCCCTCGGCTTCTCAGATCACTCCATGATACATTTGGTTCCTGCTTACAGACAGAGACTAAAGCTCTCGAAACCTGCAGTGAGGAGCTCCAAAGTGTGGTCTGATGAAGCTGTGGAAGAGCTGCGCGCATGCATGGAATCTACAGACTGGGACCTTTTCAGAGCTGCCACAGATAGTTTGGATGAATACACGGACACTGTGACGTCATACATCCACTTCTGCTAGGATAGCATCATTCCAACAAGGACCAGGGTCATCTATAACAATGACAAACCCTGGTTCACTGCTAAACTCCGGCAGTTCAGGAAAGCAAAGGAGTCTGCTTTCAGGGAGGGGGACCGCAGCGGCTACAAAGCAGCTAAATATCAGTTCAGGAAAGAACTGAAAGCAGCCAAGTCCCGGCACAGAGAACGAGCAGTTTGGTAACAACGATACTGCTTCTGTCTGGAGGGGCCTACGGGAGATCACCAACTACAAACCCAAAGCTCCCCCCTGTGCTGACGACCACAAGCTAGCTGACGAACTGAGGCCCTGTTTATACTGAGACGCTGCGCAGACGTTTCCAGGCTATTAACAGAAACGACCTGGCTCCTAATGCAAATTTCTCAGCGTTCACATGAGGTTGAAAAACGATGTAGTTCTAGCGCCCGGCCAGTAGTGGGCAGAGAAACTTTACAACACTCACACGACCCCCAGCCCCGTGCCCAGCCCCCCTCTCGGCAGTATACTCACTTCCTGTGCCAGACCCTCAGAATGCACCAACATCATTCTGCCTTTTAACAGCAGCTGTGAAAATGGGAACTGAACCTAGAGCTTCGCGTGGTCTCGTTTGGAAGAACGAAGGAGTAGAATTATCCTCTGTGCTGTGCTCGAAGCCCACGAAGCTAGTTAGTGCGCGCGGCGCCATTTTTGTTGATGTTTGTTCTCCGTTACTGCGCATGTCCAAATTTACTTGCGGGGAGCAGCGAGGAGGTGGGGGTCAGAGCAGAGGGGGATTTCACACCTTTTCCCCTCTCGCGGGTGTGAAAGAGAGCCCCCGCTGTGCAGCGTTTCTGAGTTGTCCCACTCTGCAGGCTGGATCTGAACACTTACGTTTTCACCCCCCTGGAACACAGTCTTCGTATGAACGCTTGGTAGCAACCGACATCCAACTATACCGTTTTACTGCCACATTGTCTCCGTGTAAACTCAGCCTGAACTTATTTTTCAGTCGCTTTGATGCTGCCCCTGACACCTCTCCCTCCCCCACCCCCCACTACTCTAACGACCCACCCATCAGCCCTGCCCCCAGCCTAACAATAGCCTCTAAAGAGATTAAACAACTCTTCTTGAGGCTGCACCCCCGCAAAGCTCCCAGCCCGGACCACGTGTCTCCTGTCACTCTGAGATACTGCACCAGTGAGCTTACTCCTGTGTTCACGGACATTTTCAACACCTCTCTGCAGTCCAGCCATGTCCCGGCCTGCTTCAAATCCTCCATCATTGTCCCCGTCCCGAAGAAGCCCAGGATCACAGGACTCAACGACTACAGACCTGTAGCACTTACGTCTGTCGTCATGAAGTCATTTGAACGCCTGGTCCTCTCCCATCTCAAGTCCCTCACCTCCCCCCTCCTGGACCCCCTGCAGTTCGCCTACAGAGCCAACAGATCTGTAGACGACGCCATTAACCTGGCCCTCCACCACATCCTACAGCACCTGGACTCCCCGGGGACCTACGCCAGGGTCCTGTTCGTGGACTTCAGCTCTGCCTTCAACACAATCCTGCCATCCCTGCTCCAGGACAAGCTCTCCCAGCTCAACGTGCCCGATTCCACCTGCAGGTGGATCACTGACTTCCTGACGGACAGGAAGCAGCGAGTGCGTCTGGGGAAGAATGTCTCGGACTCTCGGATTATAAATACAGGAGCCCCACAGGGCTGTGTTCTTTCTCCCCTGCTCTTCTCCCTTTACACCAACCACTGCACCTCCAGCCACGACTCCGTGAAGCTGATCAAGTTCGCGGACGACACCACCCTCATTGGACTCATCTCCAACAACGACGACTCCGCCTACAGGAGGGAGGTGGACCGGCTGGTGTCCTGGTGCAGTGGTAACAACCTGGAGCTGAACGCCCAGAAGACAGTGGAGATGATTGTGGACTTCAGGAAGAGCACTGTCCCCCTGCCCCCACCCTCCGTGATGGACTCCCCCATCACCTCTGTGTAGTCCTTCCGTTTCCTGGGCACCACCATCACCCAGGACATCAAGTGGGAGCCGACCATCAGCTCCCTCATCAAGAAGGCCCAGCAGAGGATGTACTTCCTGCGGCAGCTCAGGAAAGCCAAGCTGCCTGCACAGATGTTGGTGCAGTTCTACACGGCCATCATCGAGTCCATCCTCACCTCCTCCATCACCGTGTGGTTCGCTGGAGCCACAGTCAGGGACAAACAGAGACTACAGCGCATCGTGCGCTCTGCAGAGGAAGTGATCGGCCGCAGCCTTCCATCGCTGCAGGACCTGTACGTCGCCCGAGCTCGAGGCCGGGCTGGTCGTATCACAGCCGACCCCTCTCACCCTGCACATGGATTATTCCAACCACTCCCCTCAGGCAGGAGGCTGCGGTCCATCAGGACTAGAACCTCCCGCCACAAGAACAGTTTCTTCCCCTCTGCTGTTGGACTCTTGAACACTTCTTAACCTGTCCCCCCGCCCTTTATAAAGTCCCTTTACTGCCCATCATACGTCACTTTACTTCACTGTACTGCTGTCACCTTACATTGTGTGCACCATGTGCACTTGTATATTGTAAATAGTAACTGTAACTCTATTTTAAATTTAAATTTATTCTTTAGAAGTGTATTTTATTCTTATTTTTATTATCTCTTTCTGTCTGTTGCACTGAGCCAAAGCAATTTCCTAGTCTGTGACCTCCTGTTACTTACGTGGCAATAAAAATGATTCTGATTCTGATTCTGATTAAATTACTGATATTATTTACCAGTTCTGCATTTTGGGTTTCTTTCCATTTGAAACGTGAAAATACTGCTTCTTCAATAAATGTTGGACATTTTCTTGTCACTTTTCACAGTGCCCACTCAGCCCCAGTCCCCACAGAAATACTCCCAGCCCCAGTCCCCAAGAGACAGCCTTGGTCCCCACAGAGACCCTACACTCAGCCCCGGTCCCCCTGTCTCACTTACCTCCCACGTTGTACCCCACACAGGAGTTCTGGTCGCAGTATCCTGGAGGCCCTGCAGGTCCCACGGGCCCTGGTACCCCTGGCCTTCCGGGGGTCCCTGGGTTACCGGGGCGACCAGAGGGGCCCTGAGAGCCAGGCCGGCCCTGTCCCTGTGCTCCTGCAGACACACACAGATCTTATACTCACATACACATACACTTACTGTGCATTACTCTGAACATAGGCCTTACCTGGGGGCCCCTGGGGGCCTCGGGGCCCCTGCACTCCGACCCCTTGAGACCCCTTCTCTCCCTTGTCTCCGGGCTGACCTGCACACATGGGTACACAAGCTTTAGAGGCATGAGCTTTAGAGGCATGAGCTTTACACTGCGGCAACCTCCTGGTGTAGAGCTGGGGTTTCGAGACACTTACCTTAAAGCTGAGGTTTGTAACTTTCAAACCACAAGAATAAAAGTCTGTAAAAAAAATCCATGTAATTTATGCCATGTCCACACGTATGTTAAGTGAGGGCAGTATCGTGAAATGTGTTTAAGCAATAGAGAAAAATTGTAAATGCCCAATACTTATTTGAGAATAAATAAGGGTGTCTCAAATGTATCCTGGCAGTTGTGAAACTGTAAAAAGAACAGTCTCAGTCTGAAAAATGTGTTTTCAATTGTTTTGGTGATGTGGTTAATGATGCTCAGTAGTGTTTACATTTTTGCAGGCCTTGAGCGGTATTGTGGGGTCAGAGTTTGCGTTTGAGCCTTCGAGCAACTGTTTTGGTGTGATGGGTTGGTTTTGAAAAGAGACTGTGAGGTTGTGTGTACGTAGCTTTAGAGGTGTTTTGTGAAAAGTGAGGGCAGTATCGTGAAATGTGTTTAAGCAATAGAGGAAAACTGTAAGCCTACTTTGGCTTGGCCTTGTCGATTGCGGTTGGTAAAAATAATGAAATGATTAATTTTATAGTTATTTATTCATTTTGAGTTTATTCAAAATGTTGCTTAAGTATTTTGCATTAGGCCGATTTGCTTCATTTTCACTTTTAACTAACTTCACGCTCACATGTAGAATTTTTCAAAAGGAGCGTTTATTTTAGTTTAGTTTACTTTTGAATATGCTGGAAATGGCAGCAAGTCCTAAGTAGCTCATAAACAGTTTTTGTTTTGTGCTTTACAATTGAGACCCCCAAAACCAGACCAGACCAGACTCAGGAGAGGAGCCAGATGACGTTTGCGGAGGCAATTCCTCTACACATTTTCAGAAAACTGTGGTGTACGACATTGTTAGTCACTCGGAACAGAGAAAGCCAGGGCCAGGAGCTCAAAAGAGTATTGTATTAGTATTTGATTGTAAAAAGAATTAAATATTTTTTATTTGAACTCTTGAATCTTGGTCTTCTTTTCTGGCAAAATTCTGAATCACGTCCTTTTGACAATACTATCTACAGTATCTAACTTTGCTCTGCAGTGCGTCTCATTGGCTCAATGAGTTTGCCTGCTTCTCATTGGTTCAGAGGTTGGATGGCTTAACTTTCTTGTCATAATTACTGTATGTGAGAAGCAGGCAAATGAACGATGCTAATAAGGAAGGTGTTGTCATTGTTCTTTGTTGTGTTTCTTCTTCATTTCCTATTATTATTATTAGTTTATTTGATATGGACATATCAACTGCATTGGACAAACCAGATACATTGTTTCCAGTGTTATAGCAAAACTGCTAATTTGCAACACCTGTCCATAGGAGACATGTGTCCTATCTGCATATGAAGGTGTGTCTTGTACTATCAAAAGAAGTTTACAGTCTTGCCTGGGTCAGATCTGGTTTTGGAATTAAAGACACAGAACTCTCTGCTCTGCCTGAACCATGTCTTTTGTGTATGTGATTTTGTTAGGTAGGACTGTAGTTAAAACAGCATTAACAGTACCCCAGCTTTATAGACAATACACCATAAGTTTTTGCTTCAAGTGATTAGAACTACAGTAGATGTCGTCAGTTCTCACCCCTCTCCCCCGGCAGCCCATTGGTTCCGCTGGTGCCTGGGAAGCCCGGTCGCCCTGGTAGACCCTGCTCTCCGTTGGATCCCGGAGGTCCCTGTCGGCCTGGTTCTCCTGGAGGTCCTGGGACAGTCCGCACTGAGACTGGGGGACTGGGGGGCTGGTTCAACAGGGAGTTGAATCGGGACATGTGACCTGTGAATGGAAGAGTGTGGATCATGGAGAGGTAAACAAAGAGAGGGGTGAAGGGGCATCAGAGGGGGGATGCTCACTCTGGATAAGCTGCTCGCAGACCTGCCGGGCGATGTCTTGCACTGAGGACGTGGACTGGAGGTCACCCTGAAACACCAACAGAACTCTGGTCCAGGATCTGAGGAGACCTAAGGCCCTACTCTACTCTCGACTGATTGTGAGTGTTTCCACTGATCCTGTTTAACCAGTGCCAGGTCCCGCTTTAGTCCCTCTTGGTCCTGGTTCCATCCAGGCTGAGCTGATACTAAAGTGTTCTAACTGACAGTGATTGGCCAGAGTGCTGCTGGAAGCCATGATTACCAAGGAATTTCCACTGTTACTGGTTTGTTGTGCATGGTTTGCAAAGAGATAGCTACCAGATACGAAAGCATAATGGAAACACAACCAGGTAGGGCTAAGTAGAGCTGAGTAGAGCTGAGTAGAGCTGAGTAGAGTAGAGTAGAGTAGAGTAGGACTGGTGGAAACGAGGCTAAAGAACCTGAAGAAATAAAGGAACCAGACATTGGGCGCTCACCCGTTCGCCCTTGTCTCCCTTGGTCCCCGGAACGCCCTGAAACCAGAAAGACTCCATTAAAAAAGAACACTGCTTTATATAAACCTGAGGATGTGGCGTCGTACCGGAGGACCCAGCTCTCCCTGTTTGCCTGAGGGGCCCGTGGATCCTGGGGCCCCTGGAGCTCCCGGAGTCCCCTAAACATAGACAGATTATGAGAGAGAGTGTGTTGGTGTGTTTGACTGTGTAAGTGAGCATGTATGGATGTGCATGGGTGTGTACGTGAGTGTGTTTGTCTGTGTGGAGTGCACGTGTGCGTATGTGTGTGTCTGTGACTCTGTGTGTGTAAGTGTGTATGGGTTTCTGTTTGTGTAGTATGTACACGTGTGTATGAGTGTGTCTCTGAGCTTGTGTATGTGTGTGTGTGTGTGAGCGTGTGTGAACGTGTGTTTCCTCACGATGGTTCCTGAGGGCCCCTGTCTCCCTGGGGGCCCGTCTTTCCCTGTGAGACCCTGAAAAACATCATGAACAACTAATTTAGAATTACATAGAACCATTTTAGATAAAGTATCACTTAAAGCTGGGGTACGTTACTTTAGTCTCATAAATTATCAGTGTTGTGGGTAACGTGGGTAAAGTAATGCAAATACTGTGTAAGGTTAAACTTAGGACAGGGCCAAGCCTGTCCACTCTGTTTACCATTGACCAAATGGAGAGATACAGCTTCAAAGGAGCCATGGGGTCAGCCACAAGCCGCCATCAATCATGAGGATTACAGATGCCAAAAAGAGCAATAAAGTCACCACGGGGATAAGCACCTCTGTCTCTGCCTGCCTGTAGAGATCAAAGATCACAACCCTGCCCTCGCTCACAGACTCCTGCCACCGGACAATCAAAGACTCCCCCGCGGCGCTCTGACGCCCCCTTGTGAACAATGGACACTATCACACCCGGGACGGACAATTGCGAACCGGTACCCCTGGGTCCAGTACTCCAATAATCTGCATTGTGCCCCATATGTGTGTATCAATGTCAAAGTAATGAAATACGGTGTGTGTTTGTACATGTCTTATGATTATTAGCATCAATCCTGTGTGTTTCCTTTACAAACTGTCTGTTGTAAAAGGGGTCTGTCCACAGAGGGCAGGGGCGGCATGGACACGCCCCCTGGGAAGCCTATATGAGCACCCACACGCCATTGTTCTTTCTCTTGCCTTCTCCTGAAATCACTATCGCAACCTCCCTATCGACTCTGCGGCGGCACCAGTACGGGCCTCCAGCAACGACTGTGCCCGTCCGCATCGAGACTTTCCCTTTCAAGCAAACCTATTTTCTGGTTGGGATTTATGAACTCTTCATCACCAGCCGGCCCTGGCTCTGGACTCTGCGCACGTGACTCATTCCGGACTGAGTGTGCACGCCTGGATCCAAAGTTGGACTGCCGTCGCTGGCTTCATAATTCCCGCCTGCCCGGACAAAGAAACCACGTGGACGACATCGCCTCCACCCTATTCTTCATTCTCATCCTCCACTCCATCCTCATCCCAGTCACCCACCTCCCTCTACGCTCCTTCAAAGTAAGACTGTTCTTTGTTAAATGTGCGATTTGAATGATATGTGTACAACTCCTGCTTTTAATGTGACCAGAAATCCCTTTTCGTTATATTTTTACCCTCATTTTGTAATCAATAAACTACTTTTCTTTAACTCAACCCCTTCAGAGTCGCGTTGTTAGATCTCGGAATATCACTGGCCGATAAAAGTACTCACTACCTATTAGATTCATAAGACTGATCGAGGCAAAGATTTGGTGTGTCTGTGCGCAGATTTCTAACTCTGCTGGTGCCCAAAATAAATAACACAGACCTGTTGGTGGAACGGCGAGCTTCCGCTCCGGAGACTAGCCGCTCCACGCTACCAAATTCATACTAAATTTACTACATATACTATATATAATTATTACCCTACAGTATTGGTACCCTGTTTGTGAGATCCGCGAATATAGACCAGATTTATCGACTCGTACTCTGTGAATTGACCGGTTAATATACGCTAACTTAGACTGCTGCTCCGCTCACAGCGCTTCCCCCCACTCCCGCACCCCCTCTGTCCCTGCTACCCCCGTTGCTATAGTGACTTCAACGGCAATCGAGCCCCCCTACGCCCCACGCTTGCGATAAAAGCGTCTCGTGCATGCACCAGACTATTAATTTAGTCTCAAAAATCCTGGCTTTGGCGCAGGTACTACGCATCTCCTGCAACGTGTCGCCCGCTTGGCCAGCGGGCAGCGTGGAATGTGAAGTCGCTTCCCTCTGAAGAGAAAGCGCACAAACTTATTCTTATAACTCCACTGTACACCGTGTCCAGAACACGGGCGTACGGATCTATTGTGTCCCTTTGTGACCCAAGTCACACAGGATTTTAACCGAGTATATCTGTGTAAAAGGCTGTAAATGGCAGCTGTTTGAATGTGATGCTATCGTTTTGCTAAAGGCGGCTAACGCTAACTCTGTCTCACCACTCTCTCTGCCTGCTAACCTGCTGTTGTATACACACACCAGCACCCTACAGTACATACATACAAACCCCATTCCACCACTGTGATTACGTGCTTGTGCGAACTGTATAACTCGCTCCAGACTTTCGTGTATAAACTGCTGCTACAATGTACCGTTGCCGGCAAGCTAAATGCTAGCTACGCTCCTTTGTTTTTAGCATACGGCTAAACTTCCGCCCGGGCCCCGCTAGCCTCAAAGCTAACTCTGACAACGCCGTTGCTCCTACTACTGCTCCCACTATACGCTGCTTCTCTACCGTTAAAACTAGTGACACTCTGTTTAACCGAACTGCATTCGGTCACCAAAACTCATTGTTTATTGCCTACACTGCTGCCAAAATGTCCCGTTGCCGGCAAGCTACATGCTAGCTACGCTCCTTTGTTTTAGCATACGGCTAACTTTCGGCCCTGGCGCGCTAAAAGCCAGAACCGCACCCCCCTGCTAATACCATTCTGCTGCATTGTCTACCTGCTGTCTAACAATAACACTACTTACTATACTTCGTACTATCCTATCCCACTCTGATTCTGTGTTCTGACGATCATAAGGCGCCAGCCGTCTCGGCATACTGCTAAACGGGCCGCACCTCTTATTGTCTAAACACAAAATTGCTTTCCGGTCCCGGCACTACTTCCGGGACCACATTGCTGCTGTCTTGACTTTTACCCTGCACCACGTCTCATGATCAAGTGATTGGCTGTGGTTGTAACATTAACACTGTTTTGGCTGTTGTCCCTTGCTGTTTCTGTTCCAACTAAAATCTCTACTTTGCCAAACTTGATGTTTGATTGTACTAAACTAATACGCTAATTCCGCCCTCCTTGCACTAAACTAAAACTAATAATTTTAATCCTGCCCCTTCTTCTTTGTCACGCCTAGACCACACTGCTGCCCATGGTGGTAACATTAACACAGTCTAGCTGTTGTTCCATGCTGTTTTGATTGCTCAAACTAATAACCACTCTATGTTTGATTGTACTACACTGAAACGAATCATTTTAATTCCGCCCCCTTCTGCATGTCATATTGTTTTATTAGAACACATTACTGCTATACATAACAAAAGCTAACGCTCTGTTTCTGCTTCTCCTCTTAAACATAATTGTTAAGCTACATTGCTGCATTAGCCAAGGTTAATGCTGTAAACTCTGCTCTCCTTCTGCTGCATGTCGCTGGTGATACGCATTCTATGCCTTATTCCTGCTCACTCACTACTGCTAGTTTACAGTAACACATCTGTGTGGTGGTTTAACATACACTGCACTCCCACACACCCCCGCCCCCTCCTTGCCACCGATAATAACACATTGCTGTGGTAACTAATCCTATTCTGTACTCCTGCTCCTGCATGATGCGCGTTATTGTTGAACCACATCGGCGTGTGATCTGACAGATACTGCACTCCCACCTAGTGGTGAAACTAACACTCTACTATGCCAAACTCTATGTTTGATTGTACTACATCAAAACTAATACTCTATTTCTAACCCCCACTGTCGCTAAAACTGCATTACCTTGCCTCAGCCTGCTGCCTTTTTGCTACTGCTTACTTGAGCTGCGTCTAAAGCTACGCCGCGGCCCAAAACGCAAGTGCAACACCAAACGCAAGTGCGACACCAAACGCAAGTGCGACACCAAACGCAAGTGCGACACCGAACGCAAGTGCGACACCGAACGCAAGTGCGACACCGAACGCAAGTGCGACACCGAACGCAAGTGCGACACCGAACGCAAGTGCGACACCGAACGCAAGTGCGACACCGAACGCAAGTGCGACACCGAACGCAAGTGCGACACCGAACGCAAGTGCGACACCGAACGCAAGTGCGACACCGAACGCAAGTGCGACACCGAACGCAAGTGCGACACCGAACGCAAGTGCGACACCGAACGCAAGTGCGACACCGAACGCAAGTGCGACACCGAACGCAAGTGCGACACCGAACGCAAGTGCGCGACCGAACGCAAGTGCGCGACCGAACGCAAGTGCGCGACCGAACGCAAGTGCGCGACCGAACGCAAGTGCGACACCAAACGCAAGTGCGACACCAAACGCAAGTGCGACACCAAACGCAAGTGCGACACCGAACGCAAGTGCGACACCGAACGCAAGTGCGACACCGAACGCAAGTGCGACACCGAACGCAAGTGCGCGACCGAACGCAAGTGCGCGACCGAACGCAAGTGCGCGACCGAACGCAAGTGCGCGACCGAACGCAAGTGCGCGACCGAACGCAAGTGCGACCGAACGCAAGTGCGAGACCGAACGCAAGTGCGAGACCGAACGCAAGTGCGAGACCGAACGCAAGTGCGAGACCGAACGCAAGTGCGAGACCGAACGCAAGTGCGAGACCGAACGCAAGTGCGAGACCGAACGCAAGTGCGAGACCGAACGCAAGTGCGAGACCGAACGCAAGTGCGAGACCGAACGCAAGTGCGAGACCGAACGCAAGTGCGAGACCGAACGCAAGTGCGAGACCGAACGCAAGTGCGAGACCGAACGCAAGTGCGAGACCGAACGCAAGTGCGAGACCGAACGCAAGTGCGAGACCGAACGCAAGTGCGAGACCGAACGCAAGTGCGAGACCAAACGCAAGTGCGAGACCAAACGCAAGTGCGAGACCAAACGCAAGTGCGAGACCAAACGCAGGTGCATCTCACGCTGCGTCTACCGCTGCGGATTAACGCCGCGCCCTAATACTGCTGCTGGCGCCACTGCTAACCCTACGTGCGCCAACGCCACTAACCCCAACGCTCTCCGCTGACACACAGGTGAAGAAGTACTAACGCCCGGCCCCTGCCCTAGGCCGCCTACTCGCATACACCGCCACACGGAGAGGACGCTGTAGTCACGGTTTTGACACACACCAAGGTCTACACCACCACACGACCAACAGCTAAACTACCCTCTCTATAGCACTGCTTTCCTCCTTTCCCTCCTCCCACCGTGTCGTACACACACGTTCCAAGTCATACTCGCATACACTCACCCACACAAATATGGAAATCGATGGCGGAAACTCGCCACGACCGAGCAGGCACGACGGTGTCTCAGAAGGACACGGCATAGTGGATAACTTTCTGCGAGACCTCACAGAGAAGTTATTCCCAGGGGGCTACGACACGCTTGAGCACAGCTCACTCTCTGACTTACAAGATGCTACCTCCAGATTAGCATCCGAAGCTACTACGACAAAACTCCAAGGTAAGACCCTAACCCAGTGGCTAGGACGACTGGCCATAATCTCCAGGATAACCTTGCGCGACTCCGAAGCCCAGAAAGCAAGGCTCCAAAACACAGTGAGTGACCTGGAACGACAACTGGCGGAAACTAGGAAATCCGCCGCGACCCGCTTACAACAAATCCAACAGGTAAGTAGGGACCACCAACAGGGACTGAGCATGACTCCAAGCGCGACCATGGATCTTGATCGCGCAGCGGAAATCAGGACCGCTATTTCGAACGGAACCAGCCGTGACATTACCTCCGGCCCACACTCCCCTCGCTCCGACCGCGGCGAACCATCGTCCAACTGTGAACGCAGGAGCGTGGCCGAACTGGTAAGTATCATGACGGGAAAGGACCAAAATCAAGGTCATAGGAACAATACACAACCCAACATTGGACACGTCGACCACTGCGACCCCCACGACGCCCCTCCGGGAACACACATGGACATGCGACACAGACAACATGACTATCCGACCCATGACCCCGGCCCACCTGACGTCCATACGAGACATGTTTCAGACCGCAGCCATTGGGACGAAAGGGCCCGCCCTCAACATAGCGGACAAACCTACAACGACCCCCCTGGCCCACACCTGAACATGCTACATGGACCACACGACTTACGGTGCCCCAAGTCTGGGCCGTCCGCATATGCTGCGACACAATGGCCAGTGACCCGCGAGGGGAACACCGGGGACCTCCCCAAACATGGAGGACAACCCCACGGCGACCCCCCTGACGCACGCCAGGACTTAACCCTAGGCCAACGGGACTACCCGGACTGGGGGGGGACGGCCCCCGACCTCGACAGGTCGGACTTAGCCTCCCTCCGACACGACAACCCCACACTAGAACGCCCCTTCGACGTCACGATCGACACGACGCTCGGAACCCCCGGCCGTGATGAAGAAATAATGCCGATACGCCATGGGCTGTTAGATTCTGCTTCCGATACACTCACCTCGTTGGTACTCGTGGTGCCTCGAAGCATGAGGGGGGTAATGTTGGCACACGCCCATGACGCACCTACCGCGAAACAAACAGGTATAAACAACACACGTCAGGCACTACAACAGGTAGAAACAACGGACCGAACGGCGACCGAAATACTAAGGTACGTATCCCCAAACCGGAGTGACGAGAACGTGAAACTCCCCCGGCGCCTGAGGACAAACCAATACAGGACCGACCCGCAGGACCACCCCCAGGTCAAAAACCAGGTATGGTATTACACCTTGGCACACTCCCCAGGACACGCGGGGACCGGCCCCACCAGACTACGCCGGAAATCGCTACCCCGCTGGTCAAGACCATACAGGGTGGGAAACAAACTCTCAACCGCAGTGCACCAAATCAAGGTCACAAAAGGTAGAGAGCCCACCCTCAGATGGGCCCGTTACAGCCAAACCAAACCACACAAACAAAGCCCCATGGGACAAGCAGGGCACACTTCAAAACCCAGTTAGGAACACACCACGTGACCTCAAACACGATTAGCCCAGCACTCACCAACACTCTTCTCGGCTGCACTAATCGACTTTCTCTTTCTCTGTCTTTGTCTAACCCCTAACAGTTGTTTCACGCCTTGCAGAACATGTGGCCCACTTTCCTTCTCGTGCTGACCTGCATACTGGGTCTCGGCACCCCAGAAATTATTGAGACCGGACCAGCCTCCGGGATCGTTTTAAAGGAACAACCCGGGCTCCTCATCACGGATGTCCGACTCCACACACAGCGAATCTTTGTCAGACTCAATCCTAGTGAAGTCTGCCGCAAGAACCTGCCCTTGAAGGTCACACTCAAAGATTGGGCAGGTGCACGCTGGACCCAGACGGTCGTGGAGCATGCTGAGGCAGACATACAACACATGCTGACGCAACTAGAGAAGTTCACGATCACTAGGACAGAGCTCAGTGACCCTCGCCCCAGACCCAAACGATTTATTGGGGCTCTCCTCGGCGCGGCGTCCGCCCTGGGCACCCTCTTTAGCTTAGGGATGTCCACGGTAAACGCCATCAGCCTATCCTCCCTCAGACGTCACCAACAAGAAATGGCCTCTGAGCTCGAGGATGTCAAAACCAGACTTGACCAACAACAGAACGACGTGGTAACCTTGGGAAAATCCCTAAAAGGAACCATGCTAGTACTTAACACACACGAGGTTGCGATTAAACGCACCTCCGCTGCGGTCAACCAACTCTTAGACGTCCTCCAACTAGACTACGCCCATACTCAGCTGACCACCCAACTGATGGAGGACATGCTACGTCACCTCAGTTCCTCGATCGAAAACCTAGCCATGGGCCGTATCCCGCCATACCTCGTGCCGCTATCGTTAGTTGAGAACATTCTAGCCGTAGCCACACGGGACGCCGTAACCCCCATGCAAGCCCACTTAGCGTACACGCTGGGCGCTGCAGTCCCCATCTATGTTAATCCTCTGGACCGCGAGGTAGCCTTTCTAGTCACCCTACCGATAGTTCCCGCCGACAAAATCTACCGACTAAAAGGGATCACTAACCTAGGGACTTGGAGGGACAATGCCCACGTCAGAGTCCAGACCCCAGACATAGTAGCCTACCACGACAGTAACCCCAATTTATACCTAACGCCAAACCTAAGGATGTGTACCCTCACCAAGGACATCCATTACCTCTGCCCCAGCAAACCTTTCGTCAGGGACAGCACCGATGGCATCTGCGGCCTGAGGCCCATGACTCCAGGGAGTCGATGCCCCGCGACGGTCACCTCTCGGAAACAAATAACCGAAACTAGAGCAGAGATTGTAGGGGCACGCTGGCTAGTGAACACTCCCCTTAGAACGGCGACCCTGACCTATGACAAACACGACACCTCGTCCCGAGTAAGCCTCCCGGACGAAACCTTTTGGGTCGACGTCCCAGCCGACGCTATCCTGCACGTAGGCGACCTGGCATTATACCACCTGTATCCGAACCAGTACGAGGCAGAGGTCGAGATACCAGAGTTCTTTGAGGAAAGGGCCTTGGAACTTCAACCCTCTACCCTAGTCCAAGCCACCTACGAGGGGGCACAAACCGTTGACGTTACGGTCGTAGACAATCTCCTTCAAGAGATTGCCAAGCGACCGACCATCCACCACCAACCAGTAGCCTACTCCTGGGCCGCCCCCGATACAGTCATGGCCATCGCGGTAGGACTCGGGTACGGCCTGGTCGTAGTCATGGCCTTCGTCCTAAATAGACGGGTTAGACGACTCCGCGATAGCTTTAACAGGTGCACGGAGGCAATGACGAGACAGATCCGTAGACGACCAAACCGGGGCGACAGCGCCATCGAGCGTGGCAATTTGAGTCGGCGTCCCCAGGTCAATGAGTCAGAGTACGAGGACCTCCAAAGTCACCCACTCGAGGCGGTCACCCTTTCTATCACGGAAGGTGAACCAAGGGCCTAAAACACCACTAAGAGTCACCAGCTCAGACCCAACCAACCTACCTCGATACCTAATCAGTCTCCTAGACAATCGTGCCTGTCATCCCCATTTATATGCAGGAAATGTCCCTCGTAATTAAAGCCCCACTTGCTACGTCATATATTCGTGTAACCCTCACACTCCCCTTTTAGAACGAGCAAGATGGGAACCCCTCACCGAGTGCCTTAACGACGCTCCTACCCGCTGCCAAGGCAGCCACCTTTTTTTTGATTTTTGAAGTTTCCTATTTTGTATCCTAGTCCCCTAAAGTAGAAACTCCTGCTACTCTCTTGGCTTGGAACTTTGAGTCTTCCAGACCAAGAGACCCAGGAGTCAGGCGCACCGGCCCAAACCTTAGAGTTCACGGCCGGAGCTCACTCCCTAAAACCCCTGATCCCGGTTAGAACTAGCCTGCAGGGCCAGGACTCGCCTTAGAGAAAACCCGGCCTCGACAAACCAAGCCAGAGGCCCGAGACCCAACCGCCACGAGCCTGGCCCCAGTTAGGCGCTTGCGAATTGCTGAGTCACATTGAGACGGGAATGTTGTAACATGTCACCACAAATTGTACACTAACACCCGAACAGGCGAGAAGACCGACTGAAGACAACCCCACAGCATATCCGACATGACATGCACCTTGTCGGAAGGTGCATCTCTGCCGTGGGGGGGGTATGTAAGGTTAAACTTAGGACAGGGCCAAGCCTGTCCACTCTGTTTACCATTGACCAAATGGAGAGATACAGCTTCAAAGGAGCCATGGGGTCAGCCACAAGCCGCCATCAATCATGAGGATTACAGATGCCAAAAAGAGCAATAAAGTCACCACGGGGATAAGCACCTCTGTCTCTGCCTGCCTGTAGAGATCAAAGATCACAACCCTGCCCTCGCTCACAGACTCCTGCCACCGGACAATCAAAGACTCCCCCGCGGCGCTCTGACGCCCCCTTGTGAACAATGGACACTATCACACCCGGGACGGACAATTGCGAACCGGTACCCCTGGGTCCAGTACTCCAATAATCTGTATTGTGCCCCATATGTGTGTATCAATGTCAAAGTAATGAAATACGGTGTGTGTTTGTACATGTCTTATGATTATTAGCATCAATCCTGTGTGTTTCCTTTACAAACTGTCTGTTGTAAAAGGGGTCTGTCCACAGAGGGCAGGGGCGGCATGGACACGCCCCCTGGGAAGCCTATATGAGCACCCACACGCCATTGTTCTTTCTCTTGCCTTCTCCTGAAATCACTATCGCAACCTCCCTGGCCATCGGCGTCCCGCGGCACGTGTCTCCTACTACGGTCGCGCCAGCACGCATCGGGCCTTCTACTCCGCCAAACATACTCTCCTCTGGCTCGGGACCTTACGAACCATTTCATCACCAGCCTCTTTCCTTGGCTCTGGACTATACGCGTGCAGCCCATTCCGGACTGAGCTGCATACGCGTGGACCAGCAGCTGGACCAACTCGCTGGCTTTGTACCTCCCGCCTGCCCAGACAAAGGAACCACGTGGACTGATCCCCAACCCAAATCCTTTCTCCATCCTCTACGCTCCTTCAAAGTAAGACTGTTCCTTTGTTAAATGTATGATTTGAATGATATGTGTAAAACTCCTGCTTTTAATGTGACCAGAAATCCCTTTTCGTTATATTTTTACCCTCATTTTTGTAATCAATAAACTACTTTTCTTTAACTCAACCCCTTCAGAGTCGCGTTGTTAGATCTCGGAATATCCCTGGCCGATAAAAGTACTCACTACCTATTAGATTTATAAGACTGACTCGAGGCAAAGTTGGTTTGGATCTGTGCAGTGTGTCATACACTGCTGGTGCCTAAATAAATATAAAGCAGATCCCCCACTCGAATAGGACGGCCAGACTCTGATTTGAAGACTAGCCGCACTATTCTTCTCATAAAATAATCTGATGTATTATTAATCTACATATATCCAAATATTTACCCTACAACTGTAATGTATTGTTTTCTTTTGAGAGGAGACTTCGATCGAATGTCGGATTCAGGAGGAGCAGTCCTGGCCTCAGAACACTGGACCAGCTTTATGCTCTCCAATCCCTCATGAGATTTCGCCCAACCTGTCCACATGTGCTTTGTGGATTTGGAGAAGGCGTTCGACCGTGTTCCCCGGGGTGTCCTTTGGGGGTTCTCCGGGAGTACGGGGTCCGGGGTCCTCTGGCTCCTACAGGGAGCCAGCTGCCTTTGCCTCGCCAGCAGTAAGTCTTTTGCTCTTCGTTACCGGTTCTGTTCACTGTCTTTATGAATAGAATTTCTAGACGCAGCCAGGAGTCGGAGGGAGTCCGGTTCGGAGACTACAGGATTTTATCTATGCTGTTTGCGAACAATGTTGTCCTGTTGGCTCCAACAAACCAGGACCTGCAACATGCACTGGTACGGTTTGCAGCCAAGTGTGAAGCGGCTGGGATGAGAATCAGCACCTAAAAATCTGAGGCCATGGTGCTCGACCGGAAAAAGATGACTTGCTTTCTCCAAGTAGGTGGAGAGGTCCTTCCTCAAGTGGAAGAGTTCAAGTATCTCGAGATCTTGTTCAGCAGTGAGGGAAGGATGGAGCGTGAGATTGACAGGCGGATCGGTGCAGCGTGCGCAGTAATGCGGTCGCTATATCAGAGCCGAAAGGCAAAGTTCTCGATTTAAATGCCAATCACCTATGGTCATAAGCGGTGGAAATGAGCAGAGTGGCTGGGCGCTCCCTTAGAGATAGGGTGAGGAGCTCAGTCACAGCTCGGAGCTTGGAGTAGAACTTCTCCAGGTCGAGAGGAACCAGTTGAGGTGGCTTGGGCATCTGTTCCGGATGCCTCCCGGACGCATATTTTACTAGGTACAAAGGTTTGTAACGTGCATTATATTGCTTTTTAACCCAAAATTACATCAAATTAAGTTTTGTTTTTATACTATGCGCAAACAGTAGAGGAGAAAAATAATCCATGCCAATAGTAGCCGCTTAGAAGTGTTTTCCTTTCTGGTAGAAGATGGCTGACACTGAAGCAGAAGCAGACACTGCGTCGGACAATAGTACATTTTACAGAGGGACAGACTCCCATTATTTAGAGTTTGTTGGAGAAAAAGAGGTGGAACATAACAGTTAAGCGCACTTCATGTGCCAAACCGAAAGCTCTATCAACCTCATGCCATAGCATCATAAGCTACATTTAGTATGAGATTTGGTGAAAGTAACTTTAAAAAATTGCAGATGTAGACAGTAGTAATGTACTTTGAAGTAACAGTAAATCAAATCAGACAACAATATGCTGTCTTCATCTACAATAGTGTAAGAAAGAAGACCCCTGTGAGTCACTATTAGACTCTTTGGGGTAAAAGCTGACTCTGGGTGGTCCTGTCTTTTACCCTTTCTGTTGGAAAAAGCTGATTTAATACATGATGTGAAAACTAGTGACCAAACCCAGATCCAGGCCTGACCCAGACCTGACTCAGACCAGGACCAGACCTAGTTTCAACCCAGACCCAGATCTGACCCAGGCCTAAACCAAACCAAACCCAGACCTGAACCAAACAGAGCCAGGAACTAGTGACATGGACTTTGTTACAGAGTTCTACTCTTGTTGTGTGATAGTTTCCTACCCCAGCTTTAAATGATAAGTATGTATAAAAGACAAGTTCTGACATGAACACATTACAATATGAATATGGTATTATTTAAAATACACTCACTCGTTGTCCAGCAACTCCGGCTGGTCCAGGAGAGCCCGATCGCCCTGGAATGCCCTGTAGAATGATTATTTTACATTAAAGAAGACATAAGATGTCAGTTTGTGTTTCAATATGAGGAATAATATCTTCTGTTGAAAATATATGATAAAACAAGCACAAACACCCTCCAAAAATGTGGCTAAAATACATCTGAGAAATTACCAAAACTAATCATAGTGGTCTCCCTCTTTGGTCTCTCCCTGGTTTCTCTAGGGTCTCTCTCTGGCCTCTCTCCCTGGTTCCTCTCTCTGGTCTCTCTCTGGTTCCTCTCTCTGGTCTCTCTTTCTCTGCCCTGTCTCTGTTCTCTCTCTCTCTCTGGTCTCTCTCTTTGGTCCCTGTGGTCTCTCTCTTGTTTCTGTGGTCTCCAACTGGTTTCTCTCTGGTTTCTCTATGTTGGTTTTAAAGGCAGATAACTTTACTGACTGTGATGTCATAGAGGTAACCTGACATCATACTGAGAATGGATACATTAGACAGAAGGAATTACATGTTTGTACTAGAAGTTCTTGTGTTTTGCGTGAATGGATCTAAAAACTCCAGGTCTGAGGAACAGTGTTGGAACATGGAGAAAAGACAGGAAATTACTATTGAGCAGGAAATGTCTTCTTGAAAGGATCCCCAGCGCCCCCTGTGACTCAGAACATTTGATCATCTGAAGCTGTGGTCTCACCTGGGGTCCCGGCTGTCCTGCGTCTCCCTTCTGTCCCCGTTCTCCAGGACCTCCCTGAGACGCAGGTAAAACACTATCACTATGCCATATACTGACTAGGGTTACACAGGAAAATATCTGGTAAATTTCTGTAAATTTTTCTAGTAAATGTGTATTTCAATGTTAATATTTGCTGAATTCTTCTATCTCCCAGAAAGAGCAGATTATGCACTCTCTCAATACACAAATGTGGCCTCTGCATTTGACTCATCCTTCTTCGCCTCTTGGGCCTCTGTCAGGAGCAGAGGTCGCCGTAGTAACAGGGGACCCGTCTCCACATAGTGATGCTCTTCAGGAGCATCTCTTCAGGAGCATCACTTACTGGAGGATTTACCAGTACATGTTTGTAGTAGTAGTGGAAATCGGAGCTCTCTGAGGAAATCTACGCAGACATGGGAAGAACATGCAAACTCCACACAGAAAGGCCCTGTTGAGAAGTGAGAGTGCTTGCCACTAAGCCATCATGCTGCCTGGACATGGACTGCTTTCAAAAGCAGCGTTTCAGACCAGATTCTAAAGCCACGCAGCTCTAGAGTCCGGTCTGTTGTCATGGTCAACACACACAGATGTATCACTTTATAATCTCTATGAGCACGACGTGGTTCCTACAGCACAGTTCCGTCAGGTTGTGAGTTCTTACCGGAGCCCCGATGATGGAGCGTCCGCTGGGCCCCTGAGGACCCTGAGGCCCCTGGGGTCCAGCCACTCCGGTCTCTCCAACAGGACCCATGGGACCCTGAACACAGAGAGAGAATGGTTTGGTCCAGTTTGGTCAATAGTACCAACGTCAGTCCAGGTGTAGTCCTGGTTTAGTCTTGGTTTAGTCCTGCTTTTATCCTGGTATAGTCCTGTTATAGTCATGGTTCAGTTCTGGTTTAGCCCTGGTTCATGGTTTAGTCTGTAGTCTAGAGCTGCACATAATATCTACTGTATACAGTACAGTGTGTGTGAGTGCATGTACTGTACGTGTATGTGGGTGTCAATGTGCATGTATGTGTATGGGTGTATGTTTGTGTGTGTGTGTTACAGATAGTATAACAAGCTTCCTTTTTGCTTACTAACACAGAGATGCAGATAAGCTGGTTTCCTGATCTCACTTCCTCTGACATAAAGCTTAACTCTGAGTGTTCAATATTCTTCAAAATGTCGTGTAACATTTACGAAGAGCCAAACAACTTAACAGAACCAGTCCGGTACTCGAGAGCGCCACTGAACCAGAACCGCGAAGAGAGAGTGGTGGAGATCTACGAGAGCTCCTACAATGGACAACTGGTACCTCGTCAAGGTTAGATCGGGTTTGGACCAGGTGTAGACCAGATTTATATATGTTTTACACCGGATTTAGACCGGGCTTGGACCAGGTTAATAGATGTTTTAGATCAGGTTTAGGGCTGCTTTAATCCTAGTTTAGAGTCGCTTTAGTCCTGGTTTAGGGTTGCTTTAGTCCTGGGTTAGGAGCTGGTTTAGACCTGGTGCAGTCTGACTCTCTTTTCTGTCTCCAGTTCTCAACAGACCTCAGACCTGGTTCAGTCAAAACACAGACAGGTTGAAGCTGATCTCCTCTGGTCTTGGTCTGATCTGTGTGATTCAGCTGTTTGTCATCGCCTTCCTGACCTACTACTGTAAGTGACGCCACGGCTACGACTGCTACTAAGACTTAAAGACCTAAAAACTCTCCATTGTCTCTGGAGTTTTCCAATGGGGTTGGAGTATGAGCGTCCAAAGATTCTGTGTGACTTCCAGATGCACACTGAAAAGATGGTAATGTGAACCAACCTGACATCGAGGAGCTAGACAAAGGGTAAAAGAAAGCTATGGTGGAGGGCTCGGAAAGGAGTAGTTAGAGGAACTGAAGGGAAAATTGACAGAAGTGAGAGGAGCTGGAGAGGGTCTGAACGTAAAGGAGAGAGAAGTGAGAGGAGCTAGAGAGGGCCAGTCTCTGCTCATAAAAAATACATCTATTGTGAGAGTTGCGTTAGTTTGAAGCCCTCTCTGAGTCTCGAGCCAAGTGTAAGGGTATATTCAGACCAGAAAAGTCCTTTGGTCCGCTTGCTTGGTCCGAACCAAAAGCAGACCAAACATTTTTCTTTTGGTCCGGTCCGTATTCAGATTGTACTTTTTGCAAGTGAACTTTTTTTATAAACATATCGACGCGTGTGACAGTGAGAGCTCACGGAGAAAAGATGCGGAAATTGAGAAAAATATTGAGCTCGTACCATGGATCTATAATAATAACGGCTCGTACGTGCTGTATGTCTGCTCTCCCTATGTTTGCTCTTTTTAGAGCTACATCAACAGCAGCTCATTTGACACAAGCGAAACGCGTTGTTTCAAATTTTAGAACAACGTCGGCGAATGCGTGCTGTCGAAAGCCCGAAGGACAGTCTGTGCGCTACGTGCCTTGTCCATGGATCTATAATAATAACGGTCCTGTCCCACAACTTACTGACAGCAGCATTGTGGATAAACAGACAACGGAGGATCAAGTATGAACCAAAGAACACAATTCACTACATGATATTGCTTTTTGAGACGTGAGTCAAACACGTCAGGCTTTTAATTTTGGGCGGCACGGTGGCTGAGTGGATAGCACTCTTGCCTCTCAGCAAGAAGGTCCTGGGTTCGAATCCCGGTTGGACCAGGGCCTTTCTGAGTGGAGTTTGCATGTTCTCCCCGTGTCTGCGTAGGTTTCCTCCGGGTGCTCCGGTTTCCCCTACCACTAAAAATATGTACAATAGGTATGGCATGTGCCTCCTACACCCCCACCCAACAATTGTAAACCGCTTTGAGACTCCGATGTGCAGTGAAAAGGCGGTATATAAATAAAAGCTTACTTACTTAATAATGCAAATGATTTGAAGATGCTGCCATTAACATCACTGTATACTGTGAATAGTTTTAACTCCATAAGCCTGTTGCAGCATCTCCTCATTGCTCCAGGTCTGCCCACGGCTCATTGTTGTTGTTGTTTAGCGTGCGTTGGCTGTGACGCGTAGCTAATTCCTCACAGTTCCTGTCTGCGGTGGCTTGTTAAGTCCAAAAAATGCGCATGTATCCTCGAGTTGTGTCGGATCAACACCGGTTGTATTCTGGGCAGAAACTGTGAGCCACGCGTCACAGCTGCTAACTGCTGCTAACGCACGCTACACAACAACAATGATCCGTGGGCAGACCCGGAGCAATGAGGAGACGCTATACAACAGGCTTATGGAGTTAAAACTGTTCACAGTATACAGTGATGTTAATGGCAGCATCTTCAAATCATTTGCATTATTAAAAGCCTGACGTGTTTGACTCACGTCTCAAAGAGCAATATTCCGCATCATGCAGTGAATTGTGTTCTTTGGTTCATACCTGTGTGTGCGGACTGGGTCGCCGAGGTCTCCGCCTTCGACTGCCGCCCAGTCCTCTCAGCACGCTCCATTCTTCCCTCGAGTGAGGGAAGAATGGAGCGTGAGATTGACAGGCGGATCGGTGCAGCGTGCGCAGTGATGCGGTCGTTGTATCGGACCGTTGTGGTAAAGAGGGAGCTGAGCCGAAAGGCAAAGCTCTCAATTTACCGGTCAATCTTCGTTCCCTCCCTCACCTATGGTCATGAGCTTTGGGTAATGACCGAAAGAACGAGATCGCGGATACAAGCGGTCGAAATGAGCTTCCTCCGCAGAGTGGCTGGGCGCTCCCTTAGAGATAGGGTGAGGAGCTCAGTCACACGGGAGGAGCTCGGAGTAGAGCCGCTGCTTCTCCACGTCGAGAGGAACCAGTTGAGGTGGCTCGGGCATCTGTTCCGGATGCCTCCTGGACGCCTCCCTGGGGAGGTGTTCCGGGCACGTCCCACCGGGAGGAGGCCCCGGGGAAGACCCAGGACACGCTGGAGGGACTATGTCTCTCAGCTGGCCTGGGAACGCCTTGGGGTCCCCCCGGACGAGCTGGAGGAAGTGTGTGTGGATAGGGAAGTCTGGGCGTCTCTGCTTAGACTGCTGCCCCCGCGACCCGACAACGGATAAAGCGGAAGAAAATGGATGGATGGATGGGTTCATACCTGATCCTCGGCCGTCTGTTTATCCCGTTGTTATTATAGATCCATGGTTTACACACAATGCTGCTGTCAGTAAGTTGTGGGACAGGGTTATTATTATAGATCCATGGACAGGGCACATAGCGCAGTGTCTCTTTCGCTTCGCCTTAGCCTGGCCTTAGCCATCCGTACACTCCGTTAAATCATCATTTCACTGCATGTAACGTCTGGGTCTGGTCCCCATGTTAGCGATTACAATCGGTTGAATTTCGACCGACCATTCAGAGAGCGCAGAAGGCAGGTGTTGTAGTTAGTTGTGGGTGATGTCAAGAGTTTGCGGCGGACGGGAAGGTTGTGGTTTGGCAATGGAGAAAAATGCGATAGGAAAGTAATCCGGTCTGGTTCTATCAAGAAATTGAAGCTGGAGCAAGAGGAATGTTTAGCAAATGTAATCTCTGGAAAAATTGTGGCGCTACTCCCCACTGGCTCCGTTAGTGGCAAAGGAGATGGCTAGGCTAAATGCTAAATGCTAACGACGCACTACATACGTCACGGTAAACTCAGATCCAATCGTTTCAATCTGCAAAAGGAGTTAACCCCTCCCACCTGTAAACGGAGCTCAATGGAGCACCTCCAGACCTTAGTACGAAATGTAATTTGTACTAAGGTGTGGTATGACCAGGCTAGTTTTGCCTGTGTCTAATGAGCTGCTGTTGATGTTGAAGTCGCTTTTGCTCTAAAAAGAGCAAACAGAGGCAGAGCAGACATGCAGCACATACGAGCTCAATGTTTTCCTCCGGTTCCGCGTCTAATCTCCGTGAGCTCTCGCTGTCCAATAGGAGCGCTGATCGTCACACGCGTCGATATGTTTATCTGATATGTTTTTAAAATGTTTGGTCCGCTTTTGATAGGGAGCAAGCGAACGGACCAAAGGACTTTTCTGGTCTGAATACACCCTAAGACTAAAGCTCACCGCACACCGAAACGCAGCGCCTCGCGGCGCGTCATTTGACGCGCGTTCATGACATGTGTCAAATTACACCGGAACGCCTTGGCTAGCGTCCTTTTCCAGCTGATCGCAGATGAAATGGGTGAGTGACGTTTGGAAGTTTCTACTAATATTTTGGGGGAGGAAACAAAGTATTTACGTGAAATTATGCTGGCAAATATTACAAGAAAAGACTATTTGGACCCATTTTTTAAACAGGCTAATAACTAGCTCTGGGTAACGCTGTACTTGGGTTATCAAGCTTTCCTCGTCCATTGTGACCGGTTTACTTGAACAATAGCGCCGACAAGTGTGTAAATTTGAGACCGCGCTCACAGCTACGTGATAAGAAGCGCAGAAGAAGAAAACTACGGGTGCTTGGAGGGACAGTTTCAGCCGCGGCGCCGCGTCTGGATTCAACAAAACTGAATCGTGGCGCCCGGTCCAGCGTCGCCGCGCGTCACTGCAACCTTGGTGTGCGTTCTCTCATAGAAAATAAAGGAGGCGGCTCTTTTGCCGCGCGTCAAGGCGTTTTGGTGTGCGTTGGGCTTTAGTCTGTCTGTCTGGGACTATGGGGTCTATACTCAGACAGCTAACAGCTGTGGTCTCTGTTTTACAGGTATTCAAGGGAAAGAAAAATCTGCAGGTCAGACCCTATATGATCTTCTCTCAAACAGTTTTTTCCACATGCAGAAGGGTTTGGGCTATAAACTCCTAAGACCTGCCGTCCACCTGTGTGGACATCACATTTTGGGCTGTACAAACCATAGACTGCATATATTAATGGACAGAGTCACGCCTATCTCCGCCGTTCATAGGAGTTGGCCATGAAAAGTGCTTTCATGGAGCAATCCAAGATGGCCGCGAGTGGTCCCGCCCACAAGAAAATTGTGAAAAAACGCATCTGTGCATGCGTTAGCTAGCGCAGCTCCATTCATTTGAACGAGAGACTTCAAAAATTCCCTGCGAGTAAACTAGAGTGGACCAAAAAAAATCACCCCCCTCAGCATTGACACACATGTGGAACGGAGCTTTGGGCCAAGAGCCAACTTTTGGTCCAGCCTGTAAAGACGTTTTTGAGAGGTCTGCTAACGATATATGTTAGCATTTGCTAATTCTTCTTCTGGTTCCACCCCCAACGGCCCGGGGTGGTATTGCAAGCATGTCAGCGCACGTCATTTTGGCCACTTTTGAGCTGGGACCCTCCCTCACTGGTACAAACATAATACTTCATCCTGATTTACTGGGGCCTGGGGTCCCAGTAAATCAGTTGTTTTGGTGGGGTTGTTCACTTTTGGTTTGTGTACAAGAAATAAAATATTTTTTAAAAAAAGGGAGCGCCTAGCCACTCTGCGGAGGAAGCTCATTTTGACCGCTTGTATCCGTGATCTTGTTTTTTCGGTCATTACCCAAAGCTCATGACCGTAGTTGAGAGAGGGAACAAAGATAGACCGGTAAATTGAGAGCTTTGCCTTTCGGCTCAGCTCCCTCTTCACCACGACGGTCCAATACAGCGACCGCATCACTGCGCACGCTGCACCGATCCGCCTGTCAATCTCACGCTCCATCCTTCCCTCACTCGTGAACAAGACCCCGAGATACTTGAACTCCTCCACTTGAGGAAGGACCTCTCCACCCACCTGGAGAGGGCAAGGCACCTTTTTCCGGTCGAGCACCATGGCCTCGGATTTGGAGGTGTTGGTTCTCATCCCAGCCGCTTCACACTCGGCTGCAAACCGTCCCAGTGCATGCTGCAGGTCCTGGTTCGTTGGAGCCAACAGGACAACATTGTTCGCAAACAGCAGAGATGAAATCCTGTGGTCCCCAAACCGGACCCCCTCCGGCCCCTGGCTGCGCCTAGAAATTCTGTCCATGAAGACAGTGAACTGAACCGGTGACAAAGGGCAGCCTTGGCGGAGGCCAACATGCACCAGGAACAGGTCTGACTTACTGCCGGCAATGCGAACGCAGCTCTGGCTCCAGTCATACAGGGACCGGACGGCCCTCAGCAAAGGACCCCGGACCCCGTACTCCTGGAGAGCCCCCCAACGGACACCACGGAGAACACGGTCAAACACCTTCTCCAAATCCACAAAGCACATGTGGACCGGTTGGGCGAACTCCCATGAACCCTCGAGTATCCGATGGACAGAATAGAGCTGCCAGGACGAAAACCGCACTGCTCCTCCTGAATCAACCATCGGCCGTAGTCTCCTCTCCAGTACCTTGGAGTGGACCTTACCGGGGAGGCTGAGGAGTGTGATCCCACAATATTCTTTTTTTTTTTTTTTTATTGAATCACCCAGTGATAGGGGAGTACATATACAGTAGTTACATCCAAGGAAAACATACAGTAGTTATATATAAAGAAAACATATACAGTAATTACATACAAAGAAAATAGATTATACAAACTCCTGTATGGTAGCATTGTGGGGAGGAGGGGGGGGTTCAGAGTTGCACAAGAGTGGTGTGTGTGTGTGTGCGTGTTTGAGTGTGTGAGATATGGTAAAAAAAACAAAACAAAAAAACAATAACAATTTAACAAAAATTAAAACGTATATGCACTGTAAATCTATAGACTGGTCCTGCCGCCGATACCATCACCCAAAAAGGTTCTAAACAATCCTGATATCTCATATACATATTATGACGGGTGTGGTGTAGAGGTGCTAGGATGTGTAGTGTCATGACTGATGCATTAAAAATCAAGCAGGGGTGGCACCAAAGAGAGTTCCCTCTGGCAAACATCCCCGCTGGTGACCCTAATCTGTGTTCATGAGGAGTTTGCGTGTATCTGTATATACATGTTTAAGGTGGTTTTTTTATTTTATTTTATTTTTATTTTATTTATTTTTTCTTTAAATTATCATTATTGTTATGATTTATCATTATCATTATTGTTGTTATTATTTGTTATTGTTATTATTATTATGTTATTGTGATAGGTATATCCCCTTGAATATTCATAGTGCTGGTATTGGCAGAGGTAGTCAACAGATCAGGTGTCGAAACAAAGTCAAACATAAAGGAGAAGAAAAAAACAAAATGAATAAAAAAGAGAAAACAGTAACATTTTGTTGTGGGCATGGGCAGTAAAATGACTGCGATACAACGAGTCCTTATGTTTGTACGTATTTGTTTATGTGCATGTTCATGTTTGTGTGAGTTCAAGTTTGTGTGAGTTCATGTTTGTGTGAGTTCATGTTTGTGTGAGTCCATGTTTGTGTGAGTCCATGTTTGTGTGAGTCCATGTTTGTATGAGTCCATGTTTGTGTGAGTCCATGTTTGTGTGAGTCCATGTTTGTGTGAGTCCATGTTTGTGTGAGTCCATGTTTGTGTGAGTTCATGTTTGTGTGAGTTCATGTATGTGTGAGTTCATGTATATGTGCGTGTGCTGCATTTCTGATCCCACAATAATTGGAACACACCCTCCGGTCCCCCTTCTTGAAGAGAGCCCCTGATCACCTCGCGATGTTGCAGAGACGGGTCAGCCAAGACAGTCCTACAACATCCAGGGATTTTAGATAGTCAGGACAGATCTCATCCACTCCCGGAGCCTTGCCACCAAGGAGGCTGCCAACCACCTTGGTGACCTCAGCCAGGGAGATGGAGGTATCCGCCCCAACATCCTCAGCCTCAGCCTCCGGAGTACGTGACGGAGGGATTGAGGAGAACCTTGAAGCATTACTTCCACCACCCGGCAAGAGCCCCAGTCGAGGTGAGCAGCTCTCCACCCGCACCGTATACCGTGTTGGCAAAGAACTGCTTCCCCCTCCTGAGGGGCCGGACATCTTGCCAGAATTTCTTCGAGGTTGACCGATAGTCATTCTCCATGGACTTTCCAAACTCCTCCCAGTCCCGGGTTTTTGCCTCTGCAGCACCCCTGTGCCCCAGGGTGGGGCCCCGGCTGCGCCATGCCGGGCAACGTCACGGTTCTTAATATCATGCTATCTATGTTGGCTTCGGACTGCGCTTCGTCTGACTCGTCACCCAAGACCTGTCTGCCATGGGAGACTCTACCAGGGGCATGAAGCCCCAGACAGCATAGCTCCCAGGATCATCCGAGTGCTCCTTTTGCACTGAGATATGTTTGAACATGTTCTTTGTTCAATATTGTTCATTTATCGAAAGTTTGTGTGGAAATAAAGTGTTTTGCACTTTATTACACAGTTGTTACTTAGTTGCGTTTTATGGAAATTCAGACCGAGCGTCCACATATGTGGACAGCATTTTTCTCAAAATGTACATCATGTCAAGAGATGATGCTTAGTATATATACTTATCTGGCCCAATATGCCCAATTCGCCAAGATAAATAAAAAATGCATAGCAAAAAAGCGAGCAAGCGGACCAAAGGACTTTTCCTGTCTGAAACACCCTAAGACTAAGTCTGTCTGTCCGGGACTATGGGGTCTATACTCAGACAGCTAACAGCTGTGGTCTCTGTTTTACAGATAATCAAGATGACAAAAAACCTGCACCAGGTCAGACCCTTTATGATCTTCTCTCAAACAGTTTTTTCCACATGCAGAAGGGTTTGGGCTATAATCCAGGAGTTACAAGAATAGACCTCCCAGTCTCCAACAGCAGTAACAGGAGACGGACGTAACGACAGAACTCCAGCGGCTAATGCAGATACGTCTGTTAAATATAGTTACATTTTGAAAATTATAATATTATACTTGGTAAATTGGGGTGATCGTACCCCGCTGCTTCCACTGAATCAACTATTCCTTACACTCCAATGAGTGCAATGAATAGTTGATTGGCCCCTTTCCTGGGCCAAGTGCTGCAACTATCTTTTGGGCTCCTGTTCTCTTATTCTCACTTATTAAACAATCTCTTCCTTCCACATTACACTAGTTCAGGCATGTCCAACTGAGGCCTGCGGGCCAAATGTGGCCATATGTGTCAGGTTATGTAGCCCTATGTCACAACTTCAATTGAGAAGTCATTTATTTTTCTTATTATATACTGACACTGAAGGATAAGCTGTTATGGTAATGATGGTGCGCGTCACATGGTTAGGATCTGTCTGTGTCTGTGTTAGGACCTGGCTTGTGTCCTGAGCACTGGACTCGGTTCCATTGCAGCTGTTTGAGTGTATTTCTGGAGAAGAAAACCTGGAATCTGAGCCGAGCCGACTGTGAGCAGAAGGGAGCGGATCTGATTGTGGTCGACAGCAAAGAAAAAAAGGTATCACACACTGCAGCGCCCCCTTTGGAAAGAGCACAGGTATCACACTGCAGATGTGTGTAATATTATGCAAATGTATTTCCCCTGCAGGACTTTGTGCAGAACCTCACGACTGAGCTAAAGCAGGACTTGTGGATAGGACTATACAAGCACAACGGGGTCTGGACTTGGATCAATGATGTTGCACTTACTGGTCACAGGTGAAACCGACTTCTTTACTTTACCTCTTTATTATGTATTCAGTGTGGGACATACTTTGATCGCCTGCAACGTCAGCATGCTTGTAAGTAAGTAACGTGCTCCTGGCTTCTACCATGGGCAAGTATCTGAAATCAGCCACGCACCCTACACGCACCGCATCTGAGAGCAGAGAGTCTTTCTGCTTCAAACCTCACGTCCCCGACACAGACGTGAGATTTGAAGTCTAGCTGCTGATTACTTACTGATACATCATCAGTAATTACAAACAATTTCCAGCCCAAACATTGAAGCTAGAGTGATTTCTACTGTGGTGATTTTCATGTACACTCTAAAAACATCCAACTGACTAAGAACATAAACAAAAGAGAAGCCTTTTTTTTGACAAGACAAGTCATGTCAAAGCGGGGATTGAGCTGATATTAGACAATCCAAGGGACATTCAGAACAGGGACAAATATGTGATGAATTGCGTCATGCTAAAACTGCTGACATCTCTGCAGAGACACTAGTGATGCTCAGTCCTGGTTGATGAATGGCTAAATTCAAACTGCAGCAACTAAACACTAACTAGCACTTGCGCCTGACTCAGAACCAGCACCAGAACCTGCCATAGAATGTTGGATGCCACGTGAACAAAAATGACTTAACATTCAAATGGTAGCTAAGGTGGAACTACTCACATTAAAAAAATATGTCATAAATCAAAGTATGTTGATTTATGACACGTCCAACAATAAAAGCCATTAAAATATGACTTCTGTGGGATTGATAGTGTTAATGAACCCAAACTATTCTATTGTATGTGTCTGACAGGGCCTGGATGGTCGGTGTCAGCCCTGATCATGCAGCGGAAGGATCATCTGCTTTTTTGGCGGAGGACGGAAACTGGGACTACGTCCAGGAAGGACAAAAAGGCTACGTGTGTGAACTTAAGCTCTGATGAGAGCCGCTGCTCCTCACACTGAGAAACCACGAGTTTAACCAACAGTGGAATGCTTTTACTTTTACATTGAAACAAAACTGAAAATATATGTCTGTTGATGAAAATAGATAAAATGAGACTGTAACTAAAATAACACTTGTGAATTGGATTCATTGATGGCTTCCCTTGGAGACGTCTCCTCTGAGACCTGGGGCCTGCACCACACTGCACCACACGGTAAACACTGCCACCCAGCACATTATTTGTAGCTCCTGATGATAGCTCTGCAGATTCACAAGTGTAGCGCTATCACACTAGTGTCCTGGTTCAGTCCAAGTTCAGTCCTGGTTTTGTCGTGGTTCAGTCTTGGTTCAGTCCTGCCTCAGTACTGGCTCAGTCCATCTCCAGTCCCAAATTAGTCCCGGTTCCGTCCTGGTCTTACCACTGGACCGGGCTCTCCTCTATCTCCTCGGGCTCCTCGGATCCCAGGACCTCCCTGTCGTCACAAACACAAGAATGAAATATCTGTGGTTTTTGAGTGTGTACATGTGTGTGTGTGTCTGTGTGTGGCTCTCACTGGAGGTCCTGGGGGTCCCGGGGGTCCTTTACTGTCCTGGGTGCAGGTGCAGGCTTTGGGCATCGCTGGACAGTCAGCCTCTTTCCTCTGGAAACACACAAGGCATTTCTTTGTATCACACAATTCATACACAAACTCATCATTCACATGTCATGCAATCAGAAACAAAGATTACAGAATAAAGTAGAACAGTGTGTGTGTACTGTATCCGTGTGTATACTGCACCTGTGTGTGTTTATGTATATAAGCGTGTGTGTACGTGTATACTATATGTAGGGGTGTGTATGTGAGTGTGTATACTGTAGGTGTACTTTATGTGTATACTATATACGTGTGTGTGTGTGTATATTTGTGTTTGTGTACGTGAGAGGGTATAGATGACTGCAATGTGTGCAAAGTTATGCACGCAAAGCACCCCCCTTAAGCTCAACCCCTTGTTGCGCATAGATATTTTTATTAAATGCACAAGAAATTGTGACTTCTGATGAATTCTAACATTAAAAAAGAAGGGAGATCATTACCTTTAAAAGCTTGATTTATGTGTGTAAAAAAATCAAATAACCATTTATTTCATATAAAAAGTTAGTTTTCAGTGTGTGTTGATATGGGCTATGAGCATTATGCCCGCAGCAGGGGCAGAGCTTTTGCCTCTGACTTGTTCTAGTCTCTGAAGTGAAATGGGACTACAAAACGGCCCGGGCATTTTTGCCTTCTTCACGTTTTTTAACGGTTATTTATACGATATGCTGAAGCACATACTGTAGAGGATCAGGATGTCTCCAGTTTCAACAATTAAAATAAAGTGAAATGGTCTACATTACAAGAGAGTAATAAACATGTCATACTCAGAGTGAGGGAGATGGCCACAGACCAAAAGTATTGTTTGCAACAGAGAGTGGCACATTTCAAAAACTCTGAAATGCATAATGTCAACCAATGGCTGTCCAAGTAATTTGTCTACTTTTGGGAATGACAAACATATGGAAGCCCGTTTCCACCATGTAAAAAAAAAAAGCCTACAGAAAGTCATACGTTTTAAACTCACACGGCCAAGTCAAAATTGTGAGTTTTAAACTCGTAATTTTGACTTTTAAACTCAAAATGTTGTCTCTTAAACTCAAAATTATGACTTTCTGTAGGCTTTGTTTTTTTTTTTTTTTCAAGTCGGAAACGGGCTTCCATACAAACATCAGCTGTTAATGCAAGGGTAAATTTAGATACCCCAGCTTTAATTTAGGGAGTTTAGTTGAGCTTCGGAAGGAGACACGGGGAGACAAGGACTGTTTCTTGCAGCTGTGTATTTATTGCGTGCACAGGTTACGCAAAGACACGCACACAACAAGCAGAGAATGGTCCTGTGCGCGTCTATGGTCTTGGGTACATGGCTACGTTGTGGCTGCGCGCTCGCTGTGTTGTTGTTAAAGTGGCTCACCGGTGCTGGAGGCGGGAACCGCTGTCATTACAAAGCAGTCACAGCTGCCCTAGGACGCTGTGGCCACGGAGGATGCAGAATCCCATTCGAGTACCCCGTGGTCACCCATTGGGCCTCATGTATGAAACTTGCGTACGGCACAATCAGGGTGTAAATGAGGCGTACGCAAAAAATTTACGGTACGCACAGAATTTACACCAAGTCAATAGGTGGTGTAAATGTGTACGCTCATTTCACCCTTCGTCACAACACGCCAAAACACGCATGAAATTCAAGATTTGGACAACAATAAACATATTCCCACTATGGAAAAAATTATAAGCTGCGTTTTCATGGAGCATCATGTTTCGGAATTTGAATTACCACATCAGAAAAAGTCAAACACTCTGGAAACACGCAAACTTCGAATAAATAACAGATCATGATGAGGAGCCTCTTCTGTTTCTATGATTTTAAATCTGACTTCTGTGTATATTATTTTGATCTGTATGTTTTTAAAATGTGAAGCGCTTTGTGATCCTGGACTGTGAAAGGCTCTATACACTTTACGCGACAGGGATGTGTGACCCATATATTGCTGTGGCAGGCTCTGCGCTGCGTAATTACGCACGGCTATTTGTATTCCTCACATCTGGTAAAGCAATGTATATTTTCATTAGATTTGTGTAAGCCTCACACAGACACACACCCCATTAACGCATGGACCAATGGACTATGGTATTGCTCACTCCAAATGTCTCACTTCCCTTTCCACCCGCTGCACACTCTTGGGAGTGCATCCACAGCAGGTGCCATGAGAGACGCGCCACATAACGCCTCAAATGCTGGCATTCAGAAGTTTTGGCTCCAGAGTTTCTCTGTAAAATCTGGACCGCAAACGCTCTCTCTGCGCTTCATTGCATTCACAAGACGCTGCAGACGCTTCATTGATGAGAGCCACCGCTGCACAATATATATGAATTAATTAATTAATTCATTCTTTATTAATTAACTTCTACATTCAAGAGAGATTTTTCTAATCGATCAAAATTTTTTTGCAAATTTGTTCAAAACGCAGCTGAATATATAGCGTATATTTATATTTACATAACCATGAACAAACAAACGTGCCGTTTGACGCTTCCAAACAGTCTTTTTGGCCGGCTTCCGTGCTGACCTGTCGCAAAAACGGGGCGTTTTACAGGTGATTGCTGCATAATTCTAGGCGTGACTTTCATAAATACGTTCGTTTTCAGCCGCGGGATTTATGAACAGCCACAGGTACGTACGCACAGATCCGTGCGTATCTCACACGTTCATAAATCAGGCCCATTGTGTGTACATTTCTCAACGGATTTATACATTTTACAAAAAAAAATGGTATGAGGCAGGAGTACGGCCGATGGCCAGTCCAGCCAAGAGTGTGCGTGCAGGTTTGAGGTTTCTGTGCGCTGAGAGCCCAAAAGCCTGATATTGTGTTCCTTTTAAGAGAAGGAGGTCTCGTAAACAAACGTCTTGATGATGTAAAGATAGACATAGACAACAGATGATGACATAGATAAAATACACTGACCAGTCCTGGCAGCTCACAGCACTTGTCTCTGTTGGCCCACGACGTACTGCAGACAATGTCGAAGCTCTGCAGCTCAAACTGGAACAAAACACAACACATACACTTTACAACAGAAGGGTCAGGGTTAGAAGGATCTACTGTATACGGCTCGGAAAGTTACTGCCTTTTAATTAATAATTTTGTCCAATAAAAATGATAATGAAACTTGATATTTTTACACCTTACCATTTTTGATGCGAAATAATCAAAAAGCTCTCTATGATCCTGAAGTTTATATTGTGATAGTGACTTTGTAAATCCCTGTCTCACCGTGGCTGCGCTTGGGCGGTTGTCCCTGGACCGCACCATCCTCCCCAGGACCTCCATGCCGTCGGTGCTGATGTTTCCTGCCGCGTTGATGCTTTTCTCCGTCACAGATTTGCAGTCGATGACCACACGAGCGCTGGTTTTACTGATGGCAATGTGTAGCTGAGGAACACACACGGGCCTCGTTAGAGCACACACAAATCAATTCATTTCAATTTAATTTATTCTTGTATAGCCATGAATCACAACAGTCGTAATCGTATCTTGGAGGAATTTACAAAGCTGTCAAATTCAACCAACACAGATCATACAATCAAACCGTTAAAACACAAGAAATGCAGCAATAACAAACAGAGCCATTGGTCCATGAATGTCATTGAATGTGGAGTGTCCTGGATCATCACGTCTGTTCTTAGATCCTCCTGCATCAGCAAGAAACAACTCTGACAGATGAACTTGTTTGTGTATAAACCATACACCCATGTCTCATCATTTCATGCCAAACTTGCATTTGAAAGCCATATTCCTTCACAATTCTGAAGGCGTTTAGTTCAGGGCCTGGTTGGTGCCGTGATGGGAGACCTCTAGGAACACCACAGTGGGGGGCAACGGCTGTAAAAGTGCCAAATTGTTGTTGTGTCTTTAGGCAAGACACACCCACATTGCCTAGAATGAGTGTGTGTGTGAATGGCTGGTGGTGGTCGAAGGGGCCGATGGCACAGATTAGTTGCTTCGCTTCTGTCAGTGTGCCCCAGGGCAGCTATGGCTACAGTTGCAGTTAATCACTATTGTGTATGGCGTGAAAGAATAATGATGTGTGAAGCGTCTTTAAGTCAATGTAAAAATCATGTATAATCATTTCTATGGGGTAATTTTTAAGGTAAGAAAAAAAAATAGAGATCTTGCTTTGATAGTTTAAGTACCTCTTCAAATCTACTTTTGGATATTTTTGACACCTTTATATCCCTGTTTCAAAAGTGTAACAAAATTGACATTGCTTCCCTGGTGTGACATGAGCAGCAGATATGACGCAAATCGTCTCATACTGAACGGACAAGTTTGCTTTATTCTGTGACGTTTTGAGATAAACATCTTGATGGATTGATAACAGCACAAGAACCAAAAACCAAACTGTTTGGGTAAATCTAAAAATGCAGAAAGTCCATTGTATCTTTAGAAAGTAACACAAAAAACTAAGCCCCCTTCACAAAACCAGTCCGTAGTGTAAAAGCTAAACTCTTCTGATCTCACAAACGTCCTCAGGAAACACACTTCCTCCCTTTGAGACTGAGGGGCAGATTGGCAGCCTCACGATGCGGAGATATTCTATTCCTCCTACAGTGGGAATTTCGGTCCATCACAAGTTACAAAACAGTAAGAATGAGGAGCACATAGCACAACATACAGTTCCTCTCAAAATGATTAAAGTATTAAACCACTCCACTGTAGATTAAGCTTTTTAGGGTCACTGTCCTGCAGGAAGGTGAATCTTTGCCACAGCCTCAATTCTCCTGATGACTCTAGCCGGTTTTCCTCCCAGGTATTTCCCCACTATTTGGCTCCATCCATCACCCACCTCTTCTTAAAATCTTCCCAGTCCCCAGCGAAAAAAACCAGCCAAATAGCATGACGCTCCAATCAACCTTCAAGTTGTCAATCTCTCCATGTTCTGAATCAATTTCTGAAGGTCTTGGAGAGGGAGGGAGAATATTTGGAGGCCTTGAATGACATGTTGATGTTGCATAAGCTTTCAAATATATGGGTGGGTTTGTAGAATGAACCGGTCTTGATGATGGAAGTTGATCTATATCCATTATAGTGAAACAAATATTAACTGCAGTGGTGGTGTATCCTAAGTTACACTGTATCCTGTGTGTGTGTGTGTGTGTGTGTGTGTGTTTGAATGTGTGGTTTTGTTCAGGTAAAGTTGTTGTTAGAACCATGCTTTAACAAATAGTAGTAACAGGTGCCTGTTACTTTATTTTTTACTTTCGGTAACAAGTTTATGGTTGTAAACATGAACACATTTTCAAAAGTACAAGCTGTAAAAATACTTTTGTGGCACTTTAAGTAAATATGAAGTATAGAAAAAGCCCATACTTTAAAGAGTAACATATAATTAAATATATAATTAAGCTAAAGTTAGAGACTTAAGCTTAATAAAGAAGCAGTAAATAATACTACATTCTCTTGTGCAATAAACATATACTTGTATGTAAACTGTATCTGTAGATTATTTGTAATTCAATTTGGAGAGACGTGAAACAAGAAGCTTTTGAGTATTTTATTGGGAGGAGGTTTGGCGCCCTAGGCCCCGGTGAGGCCTTCAGAGCGGAGGGCCTCCATGCGAAGGAGCGTGCCAATCCCCCGGGACCTAGGCACTGGTGGCGGCATTTGGCAGCGGGAAGCAGATTGAAGGCGGATTGGAGGCAGGGTGAAGAGGAGGAGGAGGGGAGGTGGTGGTTGCAAGGCTTCGAGAAGGCAGAGAGTGGGAGTTTCTCCGCTTTTAAGCGGCTTGCCTGGCCGGTGCGGTGATTGGAAGGGGCGTTTGCAGCGCGATAGGCTGGGGATGAGAACCGGCCTGGAGGGGTTACCTTTGGCTGACGTCTACCAAATTGAATTTTCGCTGGCTGCATTTCAATTTGGAGAGACGTGAAACAAGAAGCTTTTGAGTATTTTATTGGGAGGAGGTTTGGCGCCCTAGGCCCCGGTGCGGCCTTCAGAGCGGAGGGCCTCCATGCGAAGGAGCGTGCCAATCCCCAAAAGGCTGTGTTGATGGGAGTTTTTTGCAGCCTGGTTTGGAGGGGACAGAACGACGAGACTACTCTATGCTGTGACCGCTATCGCTATATACTGTGACCGCTATCGCTATATACTGTGACCGCTATCGCTATATGCTTCGAGGGAAAGCGTCGGGCCGGGGCCCGGCGAGCCACTAGTCCTGGAAAACCCCCGAAACCCACGGGCGGGGCTGCGTCCGTGAAGAACCGCGGGGCATCTGAGACAGGATGATGTCACTGTAAAAAAAAAAGAGATACACCATCCCAGCGGCTCTGCAAACTGGACCGGAACGCCAGGTTGGAGCAGCGCCCCGCGTCCGGGCAGACGCGTCGTCGAGGGAGGAGACGGAGCCGGCGAGGGAAGGAGTCTGGAATTAAAAGAACGACCTTGGGGAATGATACAGACGGCATAATGAAGATGCCCGAGGAGGGAGAGCAAGGACGCCTCGAAGTGACGGGAAGGCCAAGGCAGACCGGGAGAAGCGCGGACGCGTTCGAGCTTGTCCAGCGGGAGGGAGGCCTCCATGCGCGTGTGTCGAGGCGGATGCCGAGAAACTCCAGAGTGTTGGCGGGGCCTGTGGGCTTTCCGGAGTGGAGGAATCCGAGGGCAAAGAAGGCGGGCCTGAGCTTGCGGAGAGAGCCCCCGGAGCAGTCTGAGGGTGGGTCGACTATGAGGGAATCATCGGGGAGACGCAGACAGAGGGGAGCCGCGCGAAATTAAGCAGAATCCGACACGGCGCCTCCGCAAGATTGTTGAACGAGAGGGACTACTCCGGCAGTCAAGGTGAGGCGCACTGCGAAGAAGAGCTCCGACGCCACTTGACCCCTGAACAGCGCCAGTGGTCGGGGTGGATGGCAGCAGCTTGAACGCGACCGGGATGACGGCCTTGGAGAGCCAGGAGCCGGGGCCGAAAGTCTTTATCAGCCTGATCGCGTGGTCCACGGTAGCGAACTGCAGGGAGAAGGGCGCTGGAGGGAAGGGGCTGTTGATGCTCGGGCGGGCCCGGAGCGGGGACAGGAGAGGACGAGTATGAGACGCTTCTTCCTGGAGTGCTTGCGGGTGGCGATGCCCATCGGGTTAGAGCGAGACGGAGAGAAGGGGCCATGACGTAGCCCACGGAAGAGGTTGCGGGACACGAGACGCCGGGGGACCTAAACAGAGCCTGCAGTCTAAGTGAGGGATTAAATAGAGCTTGCAGTCCAAGTGAGGTATTAAAACTGAGCCCGCAGTCCAAGTGAGGCGTTTACGGAGAGCCTGCAGTCCGGTGTGAGGGAGTTAAACCTCACACCGGTTTAACTCCAGATATAAGCAGTTCCAGATATAAAAAGTTCCGTGCGGGATTAACCTGGGAGCTCGCAGTCCAATGTGAGGGATCCAATTTGGGAGCCGCAGACCAGAGGGATTTAAACGGGGCTTGCAGTCCGAAGAGAAGGATTTAAACAGGCTCGTAGTCCAGAGAGGGATTTAAAGAGAGCCTGCAGGCCAAAGTGAGGGATTAAAACTGAGAGCACATTAAACTGAGGTCTTGCAGTCCAATGTGAGGAATAACGGAGCTTGCAGTCAGAGTGAAGATTTAAACGGAGCTTGGTTAAGAGAGCCTGCAGAACAATGCGAGGGCTTTAAACTGCAGTACAATGCGAGGGGAATAAACCGTCCGCGGATCTCATACTTACCCGCAACGCCAGAAGACAGGGACAACACAACGTGACCACGCCGTACCGGCACGAGGAGGCAGGGATGCGCACAGCTCCCACCGCACCGGGCCAGACCGGCCGCATGCAGCAGCAGGCCGCGACGAGACGAGCAGCGGCGAACCCGCAGAAAGAGCCCGCAAAGGAGGAGAGCGGCAAAGACCCACGGACCACAGCACGAGACCCGCAGCAGGTGCAGCGACGCGGAGGAGGAGACCACGCGCAGCAAGACAGGACAGCAGGGACCGCAGGAGTATGCGTGAGTAGACAAAGCGATTCCTCCAGAACGATTCATGCAAGGCTTCGAGAAGGCAGAGAGTGGGAGTTTCTCCGCTTTTAAGCGGCTTGCCTGGCCGGTGCGGTGATTGGAAGGGGCGTTTGCAGCGCGATAGGCTGGGGATGAGAACCGGCCTGGAGGGGTTACCTTTGGCTGACGTCTACCAAATTGAATTTTCGCTGGCTGCATTACACTCTAGTGCAAGAATATTGAGGTAGTATGGCCCCGTCCCAAAGTGCGTTCCCGTGGGGGTGCGAAGTGCATGTTGTGTCACAATGGTGAATTGTAAAAGTGCATTCACCATTTTCTATTAACCTTTGGTCTTATCAAAATTTTACATTGTGTACATTGTAAACAAATATACCAACAGCTTTCACAGACAGCCAATTTTGCTGCTTTATGAATACACATGGTGAATTCTTCGTATTCTATGTATGTGATGTAGCGGCCATTGACGTGTCAGATTTCAGAATGTCCAAATAGTAAAGTTTTAAACTTTACTTATTTTATCAACAGCTGTGAAGGTGCTGCAGGCCTGATAGGAATGTGGAAGGGGCAGCAAATGCCCACGTTCGATCTGGACAGAACTATGATCTGGGGAAATTTCTTAACTATGTTTTCTTCTTTTATTGGGTCAGTTGGGGTTTCAAATGAGTCTTTTGAGAATCTGGAAAAAAAATAAAAACCTCTGTCCAGTCTTGCACTAGAACATACAGTATATTAAACTTTGTTACTTGATGGAGTTTTTGTTTTATTCTGTTTTTCTTATGTTTTTCTGTCTTTATACTTAATATTCACTTATCTTGTGATGTATGCTCTTCATTCATACTGTTCTGCAACTTTTGATGGAACACTAAAATGTCCACACTGTGAGGCAAATAAAGGATATCTTCGTCCTAATCTCAATAGGTTATGTCCAAGCCCCTGAGATGCAAGATGGTACCCTATTCAAATGAATGGCTTGTGCTCAGTAGCGCATGTGTAGCACATAAGTGTGTAATAAGTGTGTACACATTTCTTTAATATTGCAGAAACAATTGTCATTGTTTTAAATACAAAAGGTAAATATACAAAGATAATGTAACGGTATTGTGTTTAAATACATCAGTTACCAAGGGGTGAGTGAGATCCCAGGTAGCGCGTGCGGCCCCTGGTCTATAACAATGATTAAATAAAGTTTTCTGAAAAAGGGGTTGACTTGTCATTTTGATCAGCTGCTGTCTGTTTGTCCTGTTTTTTTTGGTGTGTTCTCCCCACAAAATCCAACATTTATGAAAGCTGTAGGTTCTCTGTCAGCTGAGGTTTAGCTGTTTTAGGGCACGGACACATAGGTTTTTACAAACAAACTCGGCCAAGTGGCCCCAATTGTCGCCACAGGGGTGTGAAGACGGCCCACGGTCACAAAGATTTAGTTTCTCAACTGTGCCAGACCAACTGCGCTGTATTACACCGCTCAGTCCAGCTGGTGGTGGCGCTGATACTGACTTCAGCAACTACCTTGTTGTCCGAGTTAAGTTTCCGTTTCTCTTCGTGTTTACACTCTGCTACTGTGCGCCAACAGCCTGAGCAATGATCACGTTCTTTGCATCAGAGTCAATGTGTACAAGTGTGAGATGTGTCTTTCTCTAATCTGCAGCAGCTCAGTGAGTAACAAGTGTATGTGTGCATGTGTGTGTGGGCGTGCGACGTAACGAGCGTAAGCACTGAGAAAAGAAAGAATAAAAATGAAAGAATGAAAAGTGTGGCGTACAAGCAGAGAGACTGGAGCCAGGCATGATACTGTATAAGTGTATGTCGGTGTGTTCTGATGATAAAATAAAGTCTGATTCTTGAACGTCTGAAGTGTTATTGCAATAGCGAACTATCTGAATGACGTCACTAAGACACACCCCCGCTGCCTGTCAACTCCCGCCCACATGTTTTGGACAAACACTGCCGAAATGAATCAAATACCACTTGTCACTTCAGACGAAAATGATATACCAGGAGCAAAATTCCACCATCGAACCATCAGGGATCATAGTGTAGACCCATTAAAACGTTGGCTTGAATGTCGTGGTCTTCCAGTAACTGGTAGAAAGTTTGAATTGATAAAAAGGTAATGGTGAGGATTAAGATAACATTATCTAGTTAGTCATTTAAATTGCAATGCTAGCGCCTTCTTTGTTTATTTTGCTGTGATTAACTTCCATTTATCAAGTTTTTTTTGTACTGTCCACTTTGTAATTAGTTCGATCATTAGTTAGCTACTGTCAGCTGATATTATAATAGATCCATGGGGTCACAACGGGCTACGCCACTACTGTCTCTGCAGGGAGAAACTATCAGAGCCACACTCAATAAACGCAAATGACAATCAATCAATACATTTAAATGTTAATGGGAGAATATATTATACATACATTCGTAACACACGTGCACGGAGGTTATCTGTTAAGGTTTTCATGACAAAAATACTTTTTTAATGCGACTAAAGCGATCGCTTTTTTGAAGTAGGATAGCTATCCTCACTGTTACTCGCCTGCCTCGGGAAAACCTTTGGGAACTATTTTCTTTGCATTTATTAAATAAACCTTTTGGCAATAATGAAAGTGACTGATGTTAATTTTGTGTGTTCAGTTGGTACAAAGTCGTATAATAAGCGGACCCCGACGCGCTTCGTCTGTACTTATTTTCCGAAAGTCACAAAGTTGAAAAAATCCCTCTCATCTTTCTTCAGGTGTGAGAATTGTATACATTCTGGATTATGTTATGGTCAGTTCCCGACACAGGACAATTCTAATCATTTAGGATTTAATGGATGGAATTTAATCAACGTTCATTGACATTGGCCTCTCCCTATGGACCAATACCTATGTGTTTTACCTTTTTTGTGTCTTAACTGTTGATTCTCTGATCTGTGTTGGCGATTTCAACAGTTCAACAATGTTAAGTCCTCTGAGATGACTACTGTTGTGATTTAGGGCTATAAAATGATAAATTAAATTAGATATTGAGGTTCTCCTCAATCCCCCCATCACGTCCTCCACCCCGCAGCTGAGGCTGATTTTGGGGCAGATACTCCGATCTACCTGGCTGAAGTCACCAAGGTGGTTGGCAGCCTCTTCGGTGGCAAGGCGTAGATGAGATCCGTCCTGACTATCTAAAGTCTCTGGATGTTGTAGGACTGTCTTGGCTGACACGTCTCTGCAGCATTGTGTGGTGTTCGGGGCGGTTGTCACTCGCTACAAGGGGGACCGAAGGGTGTGTTCCAATTATTGTGGGACCATACTCCTCAGCCTACCCAGTAAGGTCCACTCCAAGGTACTGGAGTAGAGTACTAGAGTATTGGAGATTCAGGAGCGGCAGTGTGGTTTTTGCCCTTGAGTATCTGCAACATGCACTGGGACGGTTTGCAGCCGAGTGAGAAGAGGCTGGGATGAGAATCAGCACCTCTAAATCTGAGGCCATGCTGCTCGACTGGAAAATGGTGCCTTGCCTTCTCTAAGTTGGTGGAGAGGTCCTTCCTCAAGTGGAGGAGTTCAAGTATCTCTGGGTCTTGTTCACGAGTGAGGGAAGGATGGAGCATGAGATTGACAGGAGGATCGGTGCACAGTGGTTGCGGTGATTTAACAGTCAATCTTCGTTCCCTCTCTCACCTATGAACCCTAACCCAGACCCAGACAAAACTGTTTTTATGGCCAGTGACATGAACTTTCATTGGTGTATTTTGAAAGTTTTTACATAGGATGAAAAAGAACGAGATATAATAGTAGTAGTAGTATTTTTGCGTGCATACCTTATGGAAGCTCCCATAGAACAGCTTCTGGATCTCCGGTCCCTCGAACGTCACAGTCTGAAAGTCACCTTTGTAATCGTTGTTAAAGAACGTCACAGTTTTTCCTCCATCTGCGAAAAGAAATAATACAGATGTGTGATCTAATGCCGTTTTTCCACAGTGTCGGTTCAGTTCATTTCGGTACGGTACGGCGCACCTATTTTGCTTTTCCACTAGTGGATGGTATGGGAGATTTGAGTACTTTTCCGTACTGCCTCAGCCGTGGTTCCATCCCCATAGTACCCGTGCCATGACGTCACGTCGGCCCACTGCCTTACACTGATTGGTCAACGAGTGTCGTCACTGGAAGCGACATCTGACCCTTCAGGAAAAACAACTCAACCGCCATCTTTAAAACAGGCTGCTCTGCTCGGCTCTGCTTCGGCTACATTACGTCCTCCTCACTCCAGAGAAATGGAATTGCACAGAAATCCTCAAAAGTCCTGGTCCTGGTCGGTGGAAGAGGTCCACACGTTCCTCTCTTCAGGCCAAAAGAAAGAATTCAAAGGCAGCTCGAGGCTCAACACAGTTTTCAGGGAGATCACCCAGCTCTGGATTTGTGACTAGTCTGTGGTAATCCTGGAAATAACTGGCTAGCTACAAACCCCCTAAGGCTCTCACTGAAATGTATTTACTGTGTAAATGCTCGATTGTCTGTTGTACACAGTGCGCTAGCTACATTTAACTTCATTTAGCTATTGATAGCAAGCTAAGCTAACATCCTCCCTGTGCTACTGTGCTTTATCTCGTATAATCTGCAGTATCCACGTGTTGTCATTCTGTTTTGTGCTTGTATTTAAGTTGTTGTGTGTATATTTGTATGAGAATCCCTTCCCATAAGAGTGGAGATTACCAACGAGTAATGAGTGACCGGTTCGATTCTCATCTGGACCTGGCCAGGACCTGGTCTGGACCTGGTCTTAGACATACGTATTTTTGACTTTGTAAACTGTTGGTTTTGCACTTTACTTTTGTTTTCAATAAATCTGTGATTGTATCCCAAGACTGTGTTTCATTCATTTATTATTATTGTAGCTGAGGTTTGGGTATCGATTGTTTGTCTGGTCTCGGAGTCTGCTGTAGTCCGGACCCGAGTATGGACTAGCCTAGCCTAGCTTAGCCTAGCCTAGCCGCTAACTCGCTACCCCTATGGCTGCCGCTGTCTCTCCCTCGGTCCTTTACTGCTCGAGTTGCCATATGACGAGTTTAAACCCTGGATCCTCCTCTGAGGGCAGTGATAGATGTGTTAAGTGTAGTACAGTTGTAGCTTTGGAATCCAGGGTTAGTGAGTGAGCAGAGTCTCGAGCTAGCGCTAGCATTAGCTTTAGCCTAGCAGTATCCTCGGACATGCAGCCCTCCTCCTCTGCTACACACGCTGCTGTTGCTACAGGTCCCATTCAGATTGTACAGAGCAGTCAGCACCATTGACTTCACAGTGTCTGAGTCATTCTTTTAAGACATAAGCATTTTCAAAAACTACTCGTGCTGTGCTGAATTTTCTATTAAACACTTGCTCTGGTATTATAATAAATCCATGCACCGCACCAGTACTAGTTACGCGTCACACGTAAATGACGTGGTCTGACAACGCTGAGGACATACTGGGGGGTTCTATTTTTGATGGAAAAGCACGCGAACTGGGCCATGGCGCGCTGTGTAGAGTCAAAACATACCGTACTCGGACCGTGGAAAAACAGCATAAATGTGCTGTTTACACTAATATATATACAGATGGACAATGCTAACGTACAGTAGATTGTATCCAGATGAACAGTGCTAACATTACATATACAATTCTTAGAAAACTTGCTATCTGTAGTCAGTTTGACTTCTCTGATTTAGACAGAAGGGGTGGGGGGATGAGTGTGATATTAGTGTGCTTGTGTAAGCGCAACTCACTGTCAAGGATGACCCCAACCAGCGGCTCGTTGTTCTTGTCCAGGATTTCCCAAACGGCAAAAGGTTCCGGAGGAGTGTCCGGAAGGAGCCTGAAGAGCAGCGAGATGGTGTAGTCCGAGGGCAGGCCTTCACCGTGGAGGAACCTGGAAACCACACACAAGCACACAAACACGGACACACACAAACACACACAAGAGTTTACTCATACAGGTGGGAATCTGGAGCCAAATGTGTGGATAGTGACAGCAGAGCAAGGGTCAAACAGGAGCAGCACTGCATGGTCTGCTCCTGCTTGCGCTAATTGTTAATAAACCAAAATTTGGGGAAACAAGGCTCCTGATTGATCAGTTGTTAGGGCTCATATGGATTTACAGGTAACATCACAACATGAACACCAGGATTATAAAGAGTGGTAAACTACATACTGTATGTATGTAGTGAGTGAGTGTGACACAAAGCGTGCCTGAGGTAGAGGTGTTTACTTTTCCTTGTAAGTGAATAGGAGGTGAATAGGAGGAGCACGGCACGCTTCGACAACGGCACGCTTCGACGACGCCACGCTTCGACGATGCCACGCTTCGACGACGCCACGCTTCAACGACGCCACGCTTCGACGACGCCACGCTTCGACGACGCCAAGCTTCGACGACGCCACGCTTCGACGACGCCACGCTTCGACGACGCCACACTTCGACGACGCCACGCTTCGACTCCTCCGCCACGCTTCGACTCCTCCGCCACGCTTCGACTCCTCCGCCACGCTCCTCGCCACGCTTCGACTCCTCCGCCACGCTTCGACTCCTCCGCCACGCTTCGACTCCTCCGCCACGCTTCGACTCCTCCGCCACGCTTCGACTCCTCCGCCACGCTTCGACTCCTCCGCCACGCTTCGACTCCTCCGCCACGCTTCGACTCCTCCGCCACGCTTCGACTCCTCCGCCACGCTTCGACTCCTCCGCCACGCTTCGACTCCTCCTCCACGCTTCGACTCCTCCGCCACGCTTCGACTCCTCCTCCACGCTTTGACTCCTCCTCCACGCTTCGACTCCTCCTCCACGCTTCGACTCCTCCTCCACGCCTCAACGACGCCGCACGCCTCAACAACGACGCACACTTCAACGACGCCGCACGCTTCAACGACGCAGCACGCCTTGACGCCGCACGCTTTGACGCTTCAACGACGCCGCACCCTTCAACGACGGCGCACGCTTCAACGACGCCGCACGCTTCAACAACGCCGCACGCTTTGACGCCGCACGCTTTGACGCCGCACGCTTTGACGCCGCACGCTTTGACGCCGCACGCTTTGACGCTTCAACGACGCCGCACCCTTCAACGACGCCGCACGCTTCAACGACGCCGCACGCTTCAACGACGCCGCACGCTTCAACGACGGCGCACCCTTCAACGACGCCGCACGCTTCAACGACGCCGCACGCTTCAACAACGCCGCACGCTTTGACGCCGCACGCTTTGACGCTTCAACGACGCCGCACCCTTCAACGACGTCGCACGCTTCAACGACGCCGCACGCTTCAACAACGCCGCACGCTTCAACGACGCCGCACGTCGGTGGCCGCACGCTTCATTGCCGTACGTCGGTCGGCGCACGCTTCCACGCCGGTGGCCGCTGTTTGACGCCACGTCGGTGTCCGCCTCCTGCCGCATTCTCGACGCCACGCTTCGACGCAGTCGTGTGCTCTCATCCATTCATCGTGGGACCAGTGTCAACCATGGACTCGCGTTCCCTATTGGTGGGTGAACAATCCAACGCTTGGAGAGTTCTGCTTCACAATGACGGGAAGAGCCGGCATCGAAGGATCAGGTCAGTGGTCTGACTGAAGACGTGGTCTGACGCTGCCCGTTGGTCCTTTTCACTCGAGTGATAATGGTTCGACGCTGCCCGTTGGTCCTTTTCACTCGAGTGATAGTGGTTCGAGGTTTCTCTTTTCAGCTTTGCAGGAACGTGATGCCGCAACGCCGCACCAAAGCTCTGCTACGACGCCGCAACGGTGGCCTGCTGCAACGCTGGCCTGCTAAGACTGCATGAGTACTGTTCGGCGTGGCCTTCAAACCTGGCCGGCTATCTTCCCCAGGCCGCACTCATTGGCTTTTGGTGTGCAGCACTGCCTGCCACGGTTTGCGTGCACTCTGAGTGGCTGTAGGCGGTGCTCCTTCTCATGTTCCCCAGGCATATTCTCTCCTGGTCTCCTGGTGCGGCTCCTGCCGCCGGGCCTGTCTCACGCTTCGCCTTACCTGACGCACCCTGGCCCTCATTCTGACCGGGCCCTTGTGCGTTGGTTTTTGGGGGTCCAGAGATCTCCTATCGAACATCAATCTTCCTGGGTAAGTGTACTTCATGAATCTCATTTTCAGCTTCTAGTCTCCCCAAGTGGAATCATGTTCGAATATCAGCGCTCTAAACACCAGCAGTTCATCCTTCATTCAGCATTCTCCTTTCCCTCTCACTGCACACTCTCAGTCTCTGGACATCAGCATCGCGGGTACTGCCGTCACTGCCTCATCTACATCGGCATTAAATACATTCTCTAAAATCCACTTCGAGTCACACTGCTCCACCCTCATAAGAAGATCCTTAAAGGAGTATTGGCAATGGTCCTTGTTCTGTAGTTTAGGTCCTGGACGATTAGCCTGTCTGTCCGTGGAGTGGATCCCTCTCTCAATGTAGGGTCTTCTGAAGGTTTCTCACTTTTTTCCCCACGGGGTTTTGTGAGTTTTCCTTGCCATGCAGGAGGGTCTGGACAGTTAGTGTCCAACTAGAAGGCCCGTGGTGATGATCCAGGATACTTTAACATTCTACAACATGTATGGACATTTTATCAACATTCATAGACTATAATTACTCCTTAAACAATCCCTTGACGACCCTCTGGTCTGAACAAATTCAAAACCTGTGCTCCCTGCACGTAACCTCTCTTCCTTTCTCTACATCCGCCACTCCTTCCGGATAGGAGCAGCCACTTGGGCTGCTGCCCTGGGACTCCCTCAATCATCTCTCCAGGAGCTCGGCCCCCGGTTCTCTACCACATTCATCCGTTCTGGCAGCCCAGCGCCTCCTCTCATTATAAGTACGTATGCATCTCCTGGTGGTGGCAACTCCTCATTTCCAGCATGCCGAGCTCGTGCCAACGCCTAGCGCTAGAGCCGAGCTCGCGCCCGGACATTACGCCGCGCACTCGAGCCGAGCTCGTGCGCGTGCCAACGCCTAGCGCTAGAGCCGAGCTCGCGCCCGGACATTACGTCGCGCACTCGAGCCGAGCTCGTGCGCGTGCCAACGCCTAGCGCTAGAGCCGAGCTCGCGCACGGAAACATTCACTCACACCATGCGCCTTCCATAAACGCAGCAACCAAGTCATGGCAAACGCATCGCTAGCCAAGCTCTCTTTTTGGGAATCATGATCTGCACCCAGGCGCAGATCTCTTCAGAGCACGGCCACAGCCGGGGCCTAAGCTCCAAACCAATAAACAAACTCAATCCATAAAATAAACAACTCTTAAACGCATCTCGTCTCTTGTAGTCTCTCCAGGTTGAAATGCAGCTTAAGCGGAGGTTCAGGATGGTAGACTACCTACGTTATCACACCAGGCTTGACCACGCCTTACTCAGCCTGTCTTAATCAACTCCCCGCAGCCGTGTCAATCAAGCCAGCGTTTAAGAGCAAAGCAGAGCACAGCTCGCCAAACGGACTTCAAGCTGCAACCACCTCCTCCCCACCTCCACCTCAGGATTTCTTCACTCTCACATTCACCTTGCCTTGTTGCCACCACCAGTGTCTAGGCCCCGGGGGATCATGATCTGCACCCAGGCGCAGATCTCTTCAGAGCACGGCCACAGCCGGGGCCTAAGCTCCAAACCAATAAACAAACTCAATCCATAAAATAAACAACTCTTAAACGCATCTCGTCTCTTGTAGTCTCTCCAGTTTGAACAGCATAGAAAGCTACCTGGATGCTAGAGAGTTAGCTATTTTAGATGTTTGGAGTGAAGTCCATTCTTGTTGCTGGGGACAGAAGTTTTTTTCAAATTCTTTCGGAAAAGAACAGGGGGTGAGGGGATAAAAAATCATAAACAAATTTAAGTTTTGCAACTATTTTCACTGCACACTTTTTCACTGTGACGATTAATATCAAACATTGCATTCTGGTTGCTCATCCCCGTGGCTTCCTGTTCCACGTTTACTGTAAGTAACAGCATAAAGGGGCAACCCGCTTATACAGTCTTTTAAAAGTACTTTTTATACAGTCTTTTAAAAGGACTCGTCGCATCCATGTTCAGTATGTGCCGCTCTGTCTTTTTGCCACCCAGCGAGGGGCGCATGCGCAGGTGGGTGTAAACAACGATCCCCGTATAGAGCAAGAAGAGCGGATCTATTAGAGTTTTTTCAGAACCTGAAGCTTTTGTATTAAACCTAAAACACAGTCTAACCATTCCTTAAACAAACTTACTGCTTTGCACTTTACTTTAATTTCTGCAACACACTTTCTACTTCAGCAACACAATTTCTCCTGCTCACTACAAACTTTGTCATAAGACACTTTTTTCATAAATGCAATCCTGTGTTATTATTGGGGAAACACATCTATTCAAATACATTGTGTGATTGAAAATATTGAGACGCACACTTGAAAACACTGACTTACAAAACATGTCACACATCAGCCAGACATAAACAGGCCTCAGTTTAGCCATTTTCAGAACTTTGCAAGTCTGGAGGCAAGAAGAGCAAGAGAGAGGAAGATAAGGAGAGAGGAGGGCGTGGTTGAATACATTTCTGATGGCATTAGAGCAGAACTTTACTGTATTACAATATTACAAATTATATAGTAAAGTACATAGTACTGTACCATGTCACAGTACTGTGTACAGTATACAGAACTGTAAAAAAGAACTAAACCTATAGTAACACTTTTTGCGCATTTATTCAGAATGACTAGAAGTGGTGGTCAACAACTGTTCACCTAACAGCCGGAAGTTGTCTTTGTGGAAATAGTCCGAGCAGGAACCATGATCCACACACGCACAACTGCCTAGTTTTACATTACAGTTGATGATACTGCATTGACTGTACTGTAAAATATACCGTAGTACTGTGATGTACAGTATTGAGTTGATTATTTGTAACCTTTCAGTACTTCCTGTGGTTGTTGGTAAACCTTTGTTGAGAACAAAATCAGTTCCATTGAGCTTCACAGAAAAATAACTGATAAACAGAATAAAAACAGTGTAAATGACAGCAGTGTTTCAAATAAAGTACTTTAGTGTTTTATATAAAGTACTATAGTGTTTTATATAAAGTACTATAGTGTTTTATATAAAGTACTTTAGTGTTTTATATAAAGTACTTTAGTGTTTTATATAAAGTACTCTAGTGTGTTGCTTCCCATCTGAAAGTGTGTTCACATGATGCAAGTGTTTATCCTTTTGTCCTCAGAGTTTCATTTTGACAGATAAAGGTTTTTGGTTTTGAGAGCAGAGTTTGAGTTCTGATTATAGACTTTGAGTTTCATTTTGAGACAGATGTGAATGGTTTAGGTCCCAGTTTTGTATCAGGTTATCTTGTGTTTAGAGTTTCGGGACAACAACATTTAGCTAAATGTGTTCAAGCAATAGGAAAAAAAACGTAATACTATGAGGCTTTCTAAAGCTGAGGTCCTTCTGAGCTCACACTGAGCTCACAGCATCACTTTGTCTACAGTCTGTGGGCTTTACTTGGTGGGCTGGGCCAGCAGGGAGTCCTTGTGCAGTCTGAAGCAGGGGAAGGTGTTGAAGGTTCCTGGGACCAGAGAGACTCCCGCCAGACCACTGTATCTGTCCTCCACCAGGCCAAACAGCTCCATCATCCGGAAACCTCCGCACAAAGCACAAAACATGTCAGTGTTGATCACAGTTATAGAACAGTAGGAATGAGGAGCATTATGATAAAATACAAGAAAATCTCTAACTTAAGCCAAATACAGAAAAATTAAGAATAAAATATCTGACCTTATCATAATAAAGAAGTAAATATAAAATCTCTGACTTCAGCTAAATAATGAAGAAAGTCTAAATCTCTAAGGCGCCTGAATACATCCAGGGCCTGATCCACCCTTATGTCTCCAACAGGAGTCTGAGGTCCTCTACTCAGAACCTGTTAATGGTCCCCCGGACTCGTTTCAAAACCAGAGGAGACAGATCCTTCCAGGCAGTTGCTCCTCGCCTTTGGAATGAGCTTCCTCAGTCTCTGCGTATCTTAGAGACTGTTGATGATTTTAAGTCCCAACTAAAGACACATTTGTTTGGACAGGCTTTCTCGCACCATTGTTCATAGGCCTCTGTGAATGTAAACTGTGTTTTCTGTGTTTGTTTTATCTGACTTGTATGTGTATTTTGTATTTTAATCTGTGAAGCGCTTTGTGACCCTGGTCTGTGAAAGGCGCTATACAAATAAACTTTACTTACTTACTTACTTACTAACTTCGATAAAGAAGAAGTCGGAGGAGACCGTAGCTCTCTCACCTGGAGTGGTGCTGCCGCTCATGGGGACTGAAGGACAGGCTGCAGAGATGTCCAAATGTACGTTTGTACGATATCACATTATGACATAATTACAGTGTGTTTACATGCACTCCAGTTAACGTTGAGGTACTTCATGAATAACATCTGTAGTTTGTCCAGTAGAAAAGAGTAGTGTATAGTTTATGGTTAATAAGCTCTTAATTGGTATTTTTTAAGCACTTATATGGCTTTATTCTACATGGCCTTTTTCAACATCTAACTTACTGATACTTTCCCATGTGGGTTAGGGTACACAAATTAGCACTTAATCAGCTGATAGTTAGTGAGCGCTTATCTTAAGTGTTACCAAGATAAGATGTATTCTATTTAGATAAAGACTGTATGTTGTGTCTGATTTGTTCACAACATTTGACTTTTACAGGACTCTTTCTCTTGGACAAACTACATGTGTTGTTTATGTGACTAAAGTCAGGTACCCCAGCTTTAATGTGACCCTATCAGAGTATAAACTCACTGGCCGTCGCAGCTTCACACACAAACGTCACCAGCTTCTCTTCAATCTTGGTGAAGGCGTCCAGGTCGTCCACAAAGAACACGTGTCTGTCACTGGGTTTGCTGGCGATGCTCACGAGCTCGCCGTAATCTGCGTCCGCAAAGCCGATGGCGAAGACGATGAAGCCTGAAGACACACGTTTGGAGGAGAGGATACAAACAAACATGTGATATCAGCATACAAAGAGCAATAGTTTCACATTGTGGTAGAGCCCAGCTGAAACATCTGGTCTGGTAACTATGGTAACTGTCGATTAGTTTAAAACTAATTTCTCTTTAAAGCTGCATTACCTCACTTTATTTTTGTATTCATTAGGAAAATTCGATCCATATCCATGCTGTGCATTGGGATATACATCCTTTTGAAGAATACTGTAAGTAGCGCAGGTTTGTACTGGAACGTAATTTTATTTAAGATTTAATTTTTGCGCAATACGGAAGGTAATTTATTTTGGGACCAGAGAGTGACCAATCACAGCAGATCACTAGACCCCACTTTCTTGAGAAAATCTACAGGTCTCTGGTTAGCGCGCCCAGACAGCTGAGGTAGACGAGCATCATGGCGGAGGCGAACCTGAAACTTCCCATGTCTTTGTTACCGATAACTGCTTTTACAGCGAAACAGCCTTACAAAAGAAAGGTAAGGAACTACTATGGTAAGGTAAAGAATGCAGAGAGGCCAAGCGTTTGAAGAATCAGGAGAGAGGCACCCGGGGGAAGTGAGGGTGACGAGGCTACTTTAGCACTGGGGCATGCAATCAAATTAGGAACAAATTAGGAACAAACAAATGTGTTGCATCACATGCAACATTTCCATTTGTTTTTGGGCCAAAACAAGAGACGTATACACATAATATTATCCATGATCCAGCTCCGTAAACGACAGCAAACGAACATGCGCATGAGTGGGAGGGGGATAGTGGGGGGCAAAAGCTTTGTGAGTGCGGGGAGTGGAGCAGAAAGAGCAGAAAGGGCAGCACTTACGTACATTTGAAACTGCTGCTTCAAAGTAAAAAAAGTGAGGAACAATCCACATAAAACAAAAACTGTCACAATGTTTCAATATTCCCTTTGGTCTCTCTTGCTGGTATCTCTCTGCTTTCTCACTTGTCTCTCTCGCTTCATCTCTCTCTGGTCTCTCTCTTGTCTCTCACTTGTTTCTCTCTTGTCTCTCTCTCTTGTCTCTCTCTTTGTCTCTCTCTGGTCTCGCTCTTGTCTCCCTCTTGTCTCCCTCTTGTCTCCCTCTTGTCTCTCACTTGTTTCTCTCTTGTCTCTCTCTCTTGTCTCTCTCTTTGTCTCTCTCTTTGTCTCTCTCTGGTCTCTCTCTGGTCTCTCTCTTGTCTCCCTCTTGTCTCCCTCTTGTCTCTCACTTGTTTCTCTCTCTGGCACTCTCTGGTTTCTCTCCCTGGTCCTCTCTGCTCTGGTCTCTAGTTACTCTTCGACTCCCTCTCTGGTCTCCCTCTGGTCTTTCTCTGGTCTCTTTCTGGTCTTTCTCTGCTCTGGACTCTCTCTCTGGAAACTCAAGCTTGCTCATGTTTAAATCGGCCTCTAACACTGTGGCGATGTCACACTGGGTCGGTCCACTCCTCATATACACTGTCTTAGCTTTAGCAGTGTTTCTTGTGTTTCTCATACCTTCCACTTGCATCTCCTTGGACACCTTGTTGACATCGTCCTGGGACCGTCCATCCGTCAGCACCACCAGGACCCGTGGGACCCCCCTCCTCACGCCCCCCTCTGCGGTGAAGATCTGCTCCCTCACATGCTGGATCGCCCGGCCTGAAAACAGTCCCATAAATCATCTAAAATGACAGGATTGAGAGCAGCGCCATCTGCAGGACAACACAGGCCTCTCCCCATCGCTCCAGGTTCAATCCTTTGAAACTTTTGTATTATTTTTTACTGACTTTTATTAAAGTAAAAGAATTATTAAAGGAGTCCTGCCCAAGCCCCAGTGATCCAAGGTGGCGGGCACCCTATTCAAATCAATGTGTTGTGCTCAGTAGCGCATGGGACAACCATGGGCACCGAAAGATTAGCGGAACTCGCCCATATTTGGACATCCTCTGGTCCTCCTGGTTCTGTGCAGTGAACAAGCTCTCATGATAGGCCCGAGTGGCTCTCATGCACACGCACAGAGGAGCACGGCCACGACATGACCAACCACTGGCTGGTGATCAGAGCGGAGCTAGAGCAGAGCTAGAGCGGGAGACAAACGAGCTTGTGGCACTAAAGTGTGGATTTATAGAAAACTGAAGGCTTTAACAAGAAAAAAAGTTCAGGACAACAAGGGACACAAAAATCTCCACAAAATCCGACATTTGTTTTAGTTTACACTGAGTTCTCTGGGACATTTTTTGGGGCAGCCCATGTGAATTTAGTCTGCCCCCTGTACCCATGGGTGGGACAGCTATAAGCTAGTAATACCCTATCCAGATGTTATAATAGAACCATGGTCCTGTACCAGAGAGAGGGGGCAGGAGTGAGAGTAGGGCTATTGCACATGTTTTTAATGGTAGGTGAAACTGGAGCACCTCCAATTTGCCTTAACAACCACAGGGATATCATGCAAACTCCCCACAGAAAAAGATCTAGAGTTGGCCACGATGCAGCCCACAATGTAATAGGAATTAAATGTAAACTTACAGATATTAACTTAAAGACAATGGACATATGATATTATGTGGATGGTGTAGCTGTTTTAACCGTCTCCACATAGACGAGAGGCCACATGTGGTACTGCATCCACACGCATGGACACACGAACTCAGTGTCCACTAAAATAACTCGTCCTCAGAAACAGAGAACTACAGCTTTCACAAAAAAGGATTTTAGTGTTAATTGTCATCATCAACTTTTGAAATCCACACTTTTGTGCCACAAATCTGGCTTAATCTGATTGGTTTTAACGCTCACATGTTCCATGTCAGATGCCTTCATTAGAGGGAAAACTCCATCTTGCCTTAGCAACCATCTTAGCAACACGTCTGTCCCTGTTACGGCACAAATGTCCATACAAAAGGTTATTGGCTTACTATATCACTGTGGTGATGTCACACTCCATCTGTCCACTCCTTATGTACAGTCAATGATCTTAATTTGCTTAATCCACTGGAAAATTTGAAATGTCTTTTATTCTATTTGTGCCACTCATCGGGGTGAGCAATTTTATCAAAAATCTTCAAAATCTTTCTTCAAACGACACAAGGACTAGAGCATCGCTGCAGTGTAGGAAGAGAAGAGAAAAAACATAGTTCAAGTTGGCGCCGTGGCTCACCACGACATCTTGCATTCCTAATTAGGACAGCAATGGGTGGGGCTCGGGCCTAATAATAACAATTTCCTTACCAGTCTTGATGTTGCCTATATATTAGCTGCATTATATTTTATTATAATAATAGCAATAATAATAATAATAATAATAATAATAATAATAATTTGGTCCTCACCGGTCTTGGTGTTGCCGCCCTTGTAGCTGATACGGTTGATGGCGTCCAGGAGTTTCTCTTTGTCGCTGTAAGAGTTGAGTTTGAACTCAGTGCGAGCGTCATCACTGAACTGAGCGATGGCCACCTGCCAATCACCACAGAGACACACTGTTACCACTTATAATGCGAGCGAGTCACCAAAGGCCAAATCTCTTGTCTTGAACCCGGTCTCACCTGAGTCCCGTCGGGTCCGATCTGGTCCAGAGCCCCGGTGGTGCTGTAGAGGAACCCGATGATCTTCAGGAAGTTCTCGTCTCCGATGCTCCAGGATCCATCCACCAGGAAGACCAGGTCTGCTTTGGCGGCTTTACACACTGAACAAACACAAAAACTTTTCAAACTGCTCTTCTATCGGCTTCAGTCGTGTTTAGTTCAAACTGCTCTTCTATCGGCTTACCCTCTTTGGCAGCAGGGATTGTGGGTAATGGAGTTGTTGTTGGAGGTTTGGTCGGAGGTGGAGTTGGAACAGGAACTGGGGAGGGAAATAGCCGGAGTCGAAAGTGAATTCATTAAAATAAATCTGGTTTTGTTAACATTATGTGTTTATTATTATAATATACAGAGGTGTGTGTGTGTGTGTGTGTGTGTGTGTGTGTGTGTGTGTGTGTGTGTGTGTGGATGCGTGTGTGTGTCTCGTGTGTGTGTGCGCTTGTGTACGTGTGTCAAATGTGTGTGTGTGTGTGTGTGTGTGTGTGTGTGCGTGCGTGCGTGCGTGCGTGCGTGCGTGTGTGTGTGGGTGGATGCGTGTGTGTGTCTCGTGTGTGTGTGCGCTTGTGTACGTGTGTCAAATGTGTGTGTGTGTATGTGCATGTCTCACGTGTGTTGCCGGTCACAGTCACAGCTGACCCCTGGGTTCCGTCCGGCAGCTGAGCGATCACACTCACTTTGTACTGAACGTTTGGTTTCAGGTTCATGAAGCAGTGACGCACAGACCCCCCAGGGAGCTGCACCTCCTGATGCTGACCGTCTGAGAAGGAGGAGAGTGGGAGGAGAGGGTGAGGAGGAGGAGGAGGAGGAGAGGGAGAATGAAAAGGAGAGATAGTATTAAAAGTAACAGCAGTAGTAGAGTAGAAGAGCAGTCGTAGAAGCAGCAGGAGAAGTGGTAGTAGCAGTAGTAGCAGCAGTAGTAGTAGTAGTAGAAGCAATCGTGTTAGCAGTATCAATAGCAGCAGTAGTAGTTGCAGCAGTAGCAGCAGTAGCAGCAGTAATAGTCAGTGGCGGACTCTCAAGGCCAGCAAGGCTTTCTCTGCTGGTCTATCAGGATATTTTGTTCTACCAATATGTATTAAAGTATTCCCCATAATCTTTACTCTTCATTTAATTTAAGATTGGTTGTGCAGCTTCCAGCCTCAGGTCGACGTTTAAGAGGCATTTATCTTTCTAAACAATCTATACAATTCTATACAATCAGTATTGATCATCATGTGTTGCCAGGATCCAAATTCTGCCTCTAGACCTTCAGAATCAAGATTCAGATTCAACATAGACCTTGGAGCTTATAGTCAATGAAATCAAACCTGTAGCATTAACCAATCAGCATCCTGCTTCCGGGGCAACAGTGGCTTGGTAGAGCATTGGCCTATGGGCCTGAAGGTTGTGGGTTCAAGCCCATCACAAGAGCTACTTCACAACTCCCACTGATTGCTGTTGTTGTGTCCTTGGGCAAGACACTTAACCCCACTTTGCCTGAAGCCACGCTGAAAGATCTCAGCTCCTGTGGACTCACCACCTGCAGGAGGATGAGTGAGGGGCTGGTACTAAGTGTACTGAGTACAGCTCTGACTGCCACCCCCCCAGCCATGTTTATCAACATGGCTGTTGATAAACAGTATTCTGGCGATTGGGGGTACCAGTAGCAGTAGCAGTAGCAGCAGTAGCAGCAGTAGCAGCAGTAGCAGCAGCAGTAGCAGTAGCAGTACTTACTTGATAAGGCCTCTATCTGAACCTTGTAGGCGCTTGCGTGACTCTGCGGCTGCCACTGCACACACAGACTGGAGACTTTGGCCTGATACACTCTGAGGTTGTTCACTCCCAGGTACACTGCAAATAAAAATAAATAAAGCTGGGGTATAGAACTTTGAGAACACAACTATATAATAAAGTCCATGTCACTATTTCCTGGCTCTAAAACATGGTGGGTTCCATGTACACCATCCTTAGTTCAGTCAAGAGTTTCTCTCATATAGCAGAACCTTCTCGTTCCCCATTCCCAGCAACTGGCCTCCTGCTGGGAATCTGAGGAGCACAGGGACTGGCCTCAGACTAAACATGGGGAGGCAGCATTTCAAACGTATTCAGATAAAACACTGAAACAGTCTTTTCTGACAATGTTCAAATAAAGGTAAAATCATGATTATACTGTTTTGTTCAGCACTAGATGTCTGGAGTACGAACTGTGCAATGCAAGCAAACTTGCCTTGCCAAGTTTTCACATGCATGTGTTATTGATCTCTGTCATTCAGATCAGCATCAAGTGAAAAAGAGAGGACCACCCTCTCTTAGACAATCATCTCTCAGCTCAAAGATTCATATAGTGACACACAGGGCTTTTTCTTACACAAATGAAATGGCCGTGCCCCGACACATGATCTGCACCTCCTCAGCTTCTTCAGTCCTGAATCTTCAGCCTCGGTCCTGAATCTACAGTCTCAGTCCTGAATCTACAGTCTCAGTCCTGAATCTACAGTCTCAGTCCTGAATCTACAGTCTCAGTCCTGAATCTACAATCTCAGTCCTGAATCTACAGTCTCAGTCCTGAATCTACAGCCTCAGTCCTGAATCTACAGTCTCAGTCCTGAATCTACAGTCTCAGTCCTGAATCTACAGTCTCAGTTCTGACTCTACAGCCTCTGTCCTGGATTTGCGATTGTTGAATCAACAACTTTGTAAAGTCCTCCAGGACAACTGCTGTTGTGATTGAGGACATAAATAAAAAGTGAATTTTCTGCTTAAAACAGCATGTCCTGGTCTGATTAGATAACTACATCTGAATGCAGTTTCTGTTGGACAAACTACACAAGTTATACATGAAACAGAGTTAGGTCCCCCAGCTTTAATTACATGGGTCTTACGTATTGCTCCACGCTTTAAAATCAGCACTATTTTTAACAGACAGACATAGTAAGAAATTGGTTTTCTTTGAACACATGAATAGAAAACCCCCTTTTGAAACTTTTCCGGAGTTTACTCTTGTAATTATCAGCAGCTTTGAGTGTCAGCAGTCGTTGACATCACAAGATTACACGTTAGCGCCGTGCGTACGGGTGGTCCCAACCGAAGACTCTGCACCAACTTATCGATCAGCGGCTCAGCTGGCAGAGCATTGGCCTTTTGCCTTCGTTGTGTCCTTGGGCAAGACACTTAGACCCACTTTGCCTGAAGCCCACACTGAAAAACCAAGGCTCTGTTGTTACTGACAGAGCAGCCCTCCTCCTGCCAACCCACCACTTGCAGGAGGATCAGTGTGGGGCTGGTGCTAAGTGAATTCATTATATAGTCAAAAAAAAAAAAAACTGGTTTGTGAATTGAAATGTATCTGGATTTGGCCTAAAAGCTACTACGAGAGAGAACGCCTTCACTCCTGGTGTACAATAGTTAATCACTTTCTCAGTTTTGGATTCAAACCAATGGGCAATTAACAACTCAACATCACAGTTTGGTTGGTTTGATTCTAATGTAAACATGAATTAACCTAGAAACAGAAAAAAGGATTAAGTTTGAACTATGCTAAACTGACATCAACCATTAGAACAAGTGGTATAGTTAGTTTCAGCCTGAAATTATGACATCATGGACCAGTATGTTAGTCCTTGTCCAGGCCCTGGCCAGTCATGCTTCAGTCTTTGTCCAGTCCTGGGCCAGTCTTTTGGTGCTGGTTTAGTCCTGGTCCAGTCCTGGTTCAGTCCTGGTCCTCACAGGTCTTGGCCTTCCCGCTCAGAGCCTCGCTGGAGCCTGTGGTGTAGGAGGCGATGACTTTGACGCTGTAGTCCATCCCACTGAGCAGGTTCAGGATCAGCATGGTGTTCACATCCTCCCCCACAAAGGTCTCCAGAGCAGGACCAGGCGCTAGACCAATCAGAGAGCGGAGAGAGAGAAAAGATGTGTTACGAAGAGTGTGCAGAAAACAGGGCATTTGTCTGGAACTGCTTCACTACATCTGAGTCAGCTGTGATCCTCACTGCCCCCAGCAGAAGGCGCTGTCTCCTCGCAGTTTAATGATTTGTCATTATACAAACCTAATATTTATTTCATTTATTCTTAATTTATTTTCATGGAACAGGATTCATATCTTTTTTCTCCACTGTGTTAGTCCTGGATTAGTCCTGTTTTAAACCTGGTTTAGACCTGTTTTGCTTTAGACCTGGTTCCTGTCCTACTTTAGTCCTAATTTAGATATGTTTTAGTCCTGGTTCAGACCTGTTTTTTTCCTGGTTCAGACCTGTTTTAGTCCTGGTTTAGCCCTGTTTAGTCCTGGTTCAGACCTGTTTTAGTCCTGGTTTAGCCCTGTTTAGTCCTGCTTTAGACCTGCTTTAGACCTGCTTTAGACCTGCTTTAGTCCTGGTTTAGACCTGCTTTAGTCCTGGTTTAATCCTGGTTTAGAACTGTTTTAGTCCTGGTTCAGTCCTGCTTCAGTCTTGTTCCAGTCCCCATCTAGTCACGGCCCAGTCCTGGTCCAGTCCTCACCGCTGGTGGGCTGGTACACGATGCGGTACCCCATGGTGGGTGATGGTGGGGCGTCCCAGCTGATCCTGAAGCGGTTGTACCATTCCCCCGACACACGCAGGTTCTTCGGAGCCGACAGAGGAACTGAGGAAGACAAGGATGAAGAGAAGGAGCGAGAGAAACGGGGGAGAAGGCGAGAGAGGAGGAAGAGAGAGAGGAGAGAGAGGGGGAGGCGAAAGAGAAGGAAGAGGAGGAGGAAAAGAGATGGGGGAGAGAGGAAAGAGGAGACAGAGGGGGGAGAAGAGAGAAAGACAGAAGGGACATGAATAAAATCTCCAAACTCCAAAATAAGTTTATAAAATGGACGCCCTCACGTGTGCGAGCCGAGCGCGAGGAGCTGGGACCGTCCCCTTCGGAGTAAACCGGAGTCACAGACACTTTGTACTCGGTGTCAGAGAGGAGAGGTTGAAGGAGGAGGCTGCTCTGGCCCGCCGGGACGGTGCGCTGCAATGAACAAACACTCACAATGATGCCCAAGTATACACATTTAGGCATGGCAAGGTTATTTGTATGGCACAGTTCATACACAAGGCAAAGTGATTCACAAAACAAAACAAAAGTAAGTTGAAATTTCATACAGTACAATACATAAAAGAGAGTGAAGAAATACAAGCCTCAAGCCCTAATTTTGATGTATACTGGGACCTCTGACCTCTCTCTCCCTCCTCTCTCTCTTCTCCTCTCCCCTCTCTCCCTTTGCTCTCCCTCCTACCTTCTCTCTCTCTTCTCCTCTCCCCTCTCCCCCTTCCTCTCTCTCGCTTCTCCTCTCCCCTCTCTTTCTCCTCTCTCGTCTCTGCTCTTACTCCTCTCTCATGGGACTGTAATTTCCCCACTGTGTGACTAATAAAGACTTCATTCACTCCAGTTGGAGACCTAAGCTTTAAATGCCCTTTAGAGCAGCGCCCCCTGTGTCTGAGTTCTGACACTGCAGCGTCTGCAGCAGTGTCTTCTACATTCCTGTCCGTCGTGTCTTGAGTCTGAAATCCTCCTCATGTTCAGTCCTGTCTTCACTCAGAGGAAATCCAGGTTTGACCCAGACTGGAGACAAAATGTCCAGGGCTCAAACAAAGAGAAGAGAAGAGAGGAGAGAGACAAGGAAGAGAGGAGAGAGGGGGGAGGCAAGGAGAAAGATGAGGGAGAGAGGAGAGCAGAGAGACAAGGAAGAGAGAAGAAAGGAGATAGGAGTAGGGATGAGGGAGGAGGGAGAAAGGAGAGAGACATGGGGCAGGGGAAAAAGGGGAGACAAGGGAGGGAGCAGAAAGGAGGAGAGAGAAAAAGGAAGAGGGAGAGAATAGAAAGGAGAGGAAAGGATCTTGAAGAAGATGACATAGTCTGGGATCGCGTCTTTAATTCAGACAGAAGACATGTTTTATTGTCGATGGTAGAGACAGCACGAACACAGATACAACAGAATGCAAGTGTATTATACAGAGCGGAGGCATGGAGACCTCCAATCAGCAGCTGCCACGGTGCCATGTAGCTTGGCCTTCAGAAGTCAAAACAAGGGAAAAGTACTGGCTTCTGCACATTGATAGAATGATGAGTTTAACTTTAACAAAAGTTGCTTAAAAGTGTTATGAAATCTCACAATCTCGAGACCAAAAGTCCCTCTTCACACAACAGCTCACGCTCTGTCAGTTCAGATGGAGACCAGAGAGAGCGACCAGACAGAGACCAGAGAGACCAGAGATAGACCAGACAGAGTCCTCACCGTCTCCTCAGCGCGGTCTCCCTTGGCGCTCACGTAGCTCAGTCTAAAATGGCGGATATTCCTGGAGTCCACTGGTTGCCACGTCACTCGGAGACTGTACGTTGTCTCATCATCCAGACGCATGTTTCTGATACCAAACCGCGGAGCTGCTGACAGAAAAACAGAATGTCAGGAACTGAGCAGGACCACATCATGGTAATTGGCTGTGCAGGAAGGCCAAAGACCGTTAAGAGAGAGACCAGCAAGAGAGTGGAGAGAGACCAGAGTAAATGCATTGGACAAGCAAGTAATCTTGTCATTCTTGTTTGGTGCTGTATGCAACTCCACAGTTTTATGTATTGTGTGTATAGATATTATGTAGTATACAGTAGCGACAGTGGCTCAGTTAGAGCATTGGCCTTTGAGGCTGAAGGTTGTGGATTCAAGCCCACCACGGAACCTTCTTCACCGACTCCAACTGATGCCTGCTCCCTGTGCAAGACACTTAACCCCACTTTGCCTGAAGCCCCCGTTGAAAAAACAACACCACCTGCAGGAGGATCAGACCCAGAAATAGATTAAGGGGAAGAAGATGGATGGATTATGCAGTATATTTACTGTATATAAGTAACCAGCCCTTTGTGTGGTCACTCCTGCTACAGTTTATGAGATAAACAACTGCATCATCATTATGGAGGTATCATCAGAGTCACATTTCAATGTCATGATTCAAATGGTGACAACGGCTCTAGTCTTTCTCACTAGTCTCTCTCTCTGGTCTCTCTCTTCTCCCTCTCTCTCTGGTCTCTCTCTCTCTCTGGTCTCTCCTGGTCTCTATCTGGTCTCTCTCTCTCTCTCTAGTCTCTCCTGGGCTCTATTTGGTCACTCTCTTGTCTCTTTCTGGTCTCTTTCTCTGGTCTCTCCCTGGTCGCTATCTGGCCTCTCTCTGGTCTCTTTCTCTGGTCTCTCCCTGGTCTCTATCTGGCCTCTCTCTGGTCTCTCTCTCTGGTCTCTCTCTTCTCCCTCTTTCTCTGGTCTATCTCTCTGGTCTTTCCCGGTGAAACAGACCTGTGGTAGTTGTGGTGGTCGTGGCCTTGGTTGTTGTGGTCGTGGCTCTTTTGGCTGAAATAAAGAGTGAAAGCATTATGGACAACAGAACAATTGGCTTTGACAAAATGATGATTATGATTATGAATATTATTATTATTATTGTTATAATCCATCCAGTTGGTTCAAAAAATATTTGTAAAAGATCTCAGGCTGTAGTTGCTGACGATAAAAAAATGTGACGAAGGAGGTTCCTCAACGCTCCACTCTCATTTATTATCCTCATAAATGCCACTAAAATTGCAGGAAGATCTGAGTGAATTTAACATCCTTTCATAAATGTGTAATGACTACTGAATGCAAATAAAACAAAACATATGATTAAACAAAGTCTAAGTCTCTATACTCAAAATGGAACTTGATAAATGCACATAAACAATGGTATAGTGCATTACATTTATGTTGAGTTCTCACCGGTGGTCTGCAGCAGGATGACCTCATCGCTCTCCACCTCGTTGGCGTAAATGGCCGCCAGAAGAACCTCGTACTCTGTGGCTGGGGTCAGGCCTTTGATCAGGTACGTGTTGGTGTTGCCATTCACCAAAACCTGAACACAACACAGAGCTTAGCTCTTCAAATACTGATCTGTTGTCAGCAACTTTGGCTTCAACCAGGTCCAAACCAGTTCAGACCTGGTCAGACCAAGTAGGAGCAGAGCAAACTCCGCCCATTTCCTCAATTTCCAAAGTTCAGTCTTAACCTGAAGATGTGAGACTGCCTATATGTGAGAGAGCCACATAGTATTCTCTGTTCTAGCTGTGGCCACATGAGCCTCTAGACTCTCACTGGTCTCTCTCTGGTCACTCACTGGTCTCTCACTGGTCTCTCCACTGTAGTATCTTTGGTGTCTCACTGATCTCACTAATCTTTCTGTTCTTTCTTTGGTCTCTCTCTGATCTCTCTTTGGTCTCTCTTTCTTGTGTCACTAGTCTCTCTCTTATAATCACTCTGATTGTAAAGCTGCCCATTCTTCCTGGCAAAAAATAGGACAAAAACAATGAAATCTGTGTGTGTGTATGTACTGTAGGTGCATCTGTGTGTGCATGTATGTATGTGTGCATCTGTGTTTGATTGCGTGTGTGTAGGTGTCTGTGTGTGTCTGCGTTTGATTGTGTGTGTGTGTGTGTGTGTGTGTGTGTGTAGGTGTCTGTGTTTGATTGTGTATGTATGTACGCCCCTGACCTCGTCGCTGTCGCCTCCATCTGTGGACGTCCAGGTGACTCTGTACAGAAGGACGTTTTCAGCCGCGTGTCTCCAGTTCACCCTGAAACTGTCTGTGGAGATGTCTGTGCTGCTGATGTCCAGGGGGTCCGGGACGGTCTCTGAGGACAAGAGGACAACATGAGGTCCAGGGCGGTCTCTGAGGACAAGAGGACAACATAAGGTCCAGGGCGGTCTCTGAGGACAAGAGGACAAGATAAGGTCCAGGGCGGTCTCTGAGGACAAGAGGACAACATAAGGTCCAGGACGGTCTCTGAGGACAAGAGCACAACATAAGGTCCGGGGCGGTCTCTGAGGACAAGAGGACAACATAAGGTCCAGGGCGGTCTCTGAGGACAAGAGGACAACATAAGGTCCAGGGCGGTCTCTGAGGACAAGAGGACAACATGAGGTCCAGGGCGGTCTCTGAGGACAAGAGGACAACATAAGGTCCGGGGCGGTCTCTGAGGCAAGTGTATTTGTGTAGCAGAGTTCATGCACAAGGCAAGTGCTGAACAAAACTAGACAATCGCACAAGACGTTAAAATCATAAATGATCAAAGAGTGACAATAAAATCCCTCAGTTGTATGCTCAGATAAACAGAAATGAAGCTGAAGCGCAAATTCAGACTGAACACTGCCATAGCTCTCACCCGTCCAGGGCCAGCCAATCATTCAGCCCAGCCAGCCTCCCCAGCACCTCCTCAAGCTCCTGATTCCTGCTCTGGCTCCTGCTCTGGCTCCTGCTCCGCCTGTGCCTCATTCACACCATGCTTCTAGCCACCACCAGTGTTTGACCCCGGGGGGTCTGAGATCATCTACAGCAGCAGACGATCTCCCCTCTGCAAGTGTCACTGCTGGGGTCAATGCGCCAATCAAGTAAATCTTTTTCATGCATAAATGTTTCTGTCTTGGTCTCTTCAGATTGAACTGTTTTTATCCTGGATTTGAACATTATCAGAGTAGAAGCCTATCTCACATCTTCAGGAAGACTGTTCCAGATTTTAGTTGCATAAATCTGAGAGGCCTCCACATGTTTAGTCCTGACTCTAGGCACCAGCAGGAGGCCAGTCCCTGTGCTCCTCAGAGTCCGAGTTGATTCAGCACTAACCTGGCACAGATGTACCTACACACTTTGACATGCACTGGAAACGGCAGCAAGTCCTATGAATATCTGAAACATTTGCTGTTTTGTATTTTTCTTGCTTTTTTTCTACCTGTAAATGTTACTGCACTACAGTGTTCATGGTTTTACAATGAACCAGACAAGAGCAGAGAGGATTCACAGTCCCAACCAAGCAGATCAAGTGTTAATCAACTGGAGAGGAAAACTATTTGATCTTTATTCTTTTAAATGCTAATGAAGCATTGAGCATTTCACTGTGGACCAAAGCAGAGAACATGGTCAGCAGACTCATCACCAGTGGCTGTTCCACCTCTGCTGCTGGGACCTAAAAGGCTGTTGCACTTTATTAATATTGTAACTTTTAGAATCATGAATTCATTTTGTTTTGTTCGTATGGATGTGTTTTTGCTGCTGGACACATGCATTTCTCCTACAGGGGATCAATAATGTATCTATCTATCTATCTGGTGTGAGGCCATGGAGCAGAGCAGAGGAAGCCAGTGCAGAGAACCTCCACAGAACTACAGGAGTAGAATCTCCGAGTCTGCTTTAAACACTAAATTCTTGACCCTGACATTGTTTTGTAGATGGTGAAAAACTGCTGGTGGTGCCGACATACAGCGCTGGGTCTCTTTGATGTGACATATTTTTAACAGCCACATCAGAGAGAATCGAACCCAGCGCTGTCCGTCAGTCTGTGTTTGAGTTTACGGCTCAGGTTCAGAGTTTCGTAGGAGATAAGAGTCTTACTGGTTGTGAAGCTGTCGGTCGTGGCCTCAGCTTGTCCCTCATCGTAGAGGGCCGACACCCCCACAGTGTACTCTGTGAGAGATGTGAGGTTCTGCAGCTGGAAGGAGGTCACAGGCCCTACGTCCACCTGCAAGTATACATGTACCAGTATTACAAGAAACCAGGAGTTTACACATGTACCAGTATTACAAGAAACCAGGAGTGACCACTGTCCACCCGGAAAAGATTTAAAAAAATATATATAATCAATGGCCTGGAAAAACTCAATAAAATATGCTGTCCCCAGGCCCTGTACAAGCCTGTGTAAGAGGAGATTTAGATGTTAAGAAAACGATTAGCGCCAACTATGCTCCATTGACCGTATAATTGAACCCTTTCTCTCTTAGCAACCTCATAGAAACCAAAAAACCAACCAGTAGCCAGGCTGGTCCCTTCTCTCTGTTAACCAAAGCCTGATTCAGAAATAGGACACACAAGATTGGTCAAATAATTTTGGTTGCAGTTTCTTTTACACAGAAAATATGAAACATTCAAACAGGATTTTATAGTCTCTCTCTCTCTCTCTTGTCTCTCTATCAACTGGTTTTATCATTTTCTCATAATGGTGTCTGCAAACTATGCCAACTGGTCTCTCTCTGGCTTGACTCTGGTCTGTCTTGTCACTGGTCTTTCTCTTGTAACTGGTCTTTCTCTGGTGTCTCTCTCTCTGACCTATCTCTGGTCTCTATGTGTCTATGGTCTCTCTCTCTCTGATCTCTCTCTCTCGTTTTTCTCTCTGTTCTCTCTCTGGTTTTTCTCTCTGTTCTCTCTCTGGTCTTTTTATCAACTATGGTAGATAGAGACCATAGACCACAGAGATCCTTATTTTCTAATAAAAGGTTACCAGAAGTGGTGACAATATTCAAAAACATTGGCACGATGTTGGCCAGTATAAATGACTTCATAATTCACCTGCAGCTATAGCCACAACTTTCAAATATGAATCTCATCATTATCAGACACTCGTGCAGCAGTCACCTCGTTGATCTTGGTGCCGCTCGTCTTCACAAACATGATACGGTACCCCAACACCTTCTTGGAGGGGGCGTCCCAGCTCAGTCTGCTGGAACTGTGGCTGACGTCAGAGAAGCGCAAGTTCATGGCCGGTAACAGCGGCACTAGGAAGAGGACAACAATCCTTAAACAGACAGTGGTCATTCTGCTCCCGATGGACCAATAGCTCCCATTAGTCCATCACAGGTCTCTCTCTGGCCTCTGTCAGGTCCCTCACAGGTCTCTCTCTCTGGTCTTTCTCTCTGGTCCCTCAAAGGTCTCTCTCTCTTTTCTGTCCCTCTGTCTGGTCTGGTTCGGATGTGTTTTCTATAAATGTGTTTCCTGTTCGATTCTATAATCTGTTGATGGCGAAGCGTAACGTCCTATATTTCACTGAGACGACTGCGGTAGTGATACAGGGCGATACACAAATATTAAATATTGTGTATAGAATTCAATTCAATTGAGACAGGTACAAACCAGCTCATCAATAGTAGATTTGGTTTGTCAGTTTTGGTCATGAAAGGTCATCAAAAACATGTTATCTTTTGTATTAGAAAGAGTCCTGTGAATCACTACTTCATTATCACTTATAAAGACCAGAAACACATTATGTGAAAAGTAGTGAAACATGATGTTATTGAGCTCTATTGATGTGGTCTTAAAACACACAAACATAGATATTATTGCTATTTCAGGAGCAAAGTAAGGTACCCCAGCTTCTGGGCAATGGTTCAACCATTTGAATGTCTTTTCTAACAGTCGGACCATACGTTCTATCTTTAACACTGGAGGAAGCAGCCGCATCACAACTGCACAGTTACTGTTTCAGTGAGAATCTTATAAAATCTCAGAAATCTCAGTCTCTGTCACACGTCAAACACTTGTGTGTTTCTCTTCTCTGTGCCGTAAAATTCTGCTGTAAAAGTCTTACAGTTATTTCAGTGCGTCCTGGGGCGACCTGAGCCCAAAGTCGTAAACCACGGCCACAATTACAGTTGCACTCTGACGTGGATCAAAAAAACACGACATACACACAAATAGCAGTAGCAGCAGCAGTAAGTAAGTCAGTAAATAATCCTTATTTATATAGCACATTTTACAGACCAAGTTCACCCAAAGAGCTTACAATTGTTGTGAAGTCAGATATTTTTTCAGTAGTAGTAGTAGCAGCATTATCAGCACAAGCATTAGCATTAGCAGCAGTCGTAGCAGTATCAGCAGTAGCAGTAGTAGTAGCAGGAACAGTATTAGCAGAAGCAGTAGTGGTAGCAGTATCAGCCGTAGTAGCAGTAGCAACAACAGCAGCATCAGCAGCAGTAGTAGCAGTACTCACAGGTGGTCTGCTGGCTGGTCATGGGGTCACTGGCCTCCTCGCCGTACAGGGCATACACTGTGACCGTGTATTCTGTGGAGGGGGTCAGTGCCTCCAGCTCCACCTCAGTCACCGACGCCTCCACCTTCACCTGCAACACAACAAACACAGTTTACAGCCATTAACTGATGATACATGCCTGCTGGAACACAAGCACACACAAACACAAGCACTCGGGCAGATGAAAAAGCCTTTATCTAAAAAATTCAATTAATCACAACACAATGTTGTTCTGAGCTTTAAAATGAGGTCTACGTCCATATTAATTCACACCATAGCTACATTATTGCCATATATGTTTGACTGTTTGATTCTCTGATCTGGGTTGCGGAATTCTCAACTTTGTAAAGTCCTCCAAGACAAGTGCTGCAGTGATTTAGGGCTAAATGCACATACATTGAATTAAATATGGATTTTTGTGACACAATCAAAAACCAATGTCAGTTTGTACAAATAAAGTTGACTGGATTCCAGAGGTTCTGAGTTTACACAAAGTACAACAGTACTGTATTGGTGGAGCTGAAGTTGGCTGGATGACAGTGAAAGTGCCTCAAAGATGACTCTGTGTTAGGGAGCAGAAGGCCACAGAAATGAGACAACAGACTGCAATTGTCTCGCGGGCCTCAGTTTGGACTCTCAGCAACTGGTCAAAATAAAGGCTTGCTAAAACACAGACACAGACACACAGACAGACACACACACGCACATAGACACAATCACAAATACACAAATGCACATGCACACAGACAAACACACACACACACACACATATATCTATAGACTGACACACACATACATACACACACACACTTACTGAAAGAGGAATTTGAAGTATTGCGAGTGAAACGCTGTCTCTCTTACGTAAGAGTCAGGTCCAGACTGGAGCTGACGACAGCTGAGGAGCTGAAGTTTGAAATGTGATTTTAGGGAAAAGACAAACGAGACGCAGAGATGTGACGCTTCAGCTGCCACACGCCACACTCCTGATTTATCTGAGCTTTCCTGCTGCTGCCGGACGCACAGAGAATGGTTGGTTACACCCAACATTGGTGACAATAAACTACTACTGTAGCCACAGCTGCCCTGGGGCACACTGACAGAAGCAAGGCAACCAGTATGTGCCATCGGCCCCTCCGACCACCACCAGACTACTTCTAGCCAATGGGGGCGAATTGTCTTGCTTAAGGACACAACGGCAGTTTGGCACTTTACAGCCGCCCCACTGTGGCATCAGGTGTTCCCAGAGGTTAAGTGTCTTGCCAAGGACACAACAACATCAGTGGGAGTAGATGGTGAATGTCTCAAGGTGGGCTCAAACCCACGACCTTCTGCCTCAAAGACCAATGCTCTACCAACTGAGCTACTGTCAATTACTTTATAATTGATTATGGAAAGCTTCTCATCCTCATGAAGAAACTTATTTTTCACAAGGACACCTTTATAAAGGAACAGGTGCAGCAGGTCAAACTCTGACAGTGAGAGCCTCCCTCACCCAAACACTGGCTGTCATTACTAGTAGTTGGGCTTCTCACCTCCTTCTCGTCAGCCGTCTCGCTCTCGGTCAGCGGCGCATACAGGATCATGTACCCAGAAGCCCCGACGGCGGTCCTCCAGCGGACCATCATGGTGCTGTGGGTGATGTCGAACAGCTCCAGCTCGTTCACCATCGGCAAGGCCACTGACAACACATGGTTTAAAGGAGACATTTATGCAAGTCCACTGACGACACATGGTTTAAAGGAGACATTTATGCAAGGCCACTGACGACACATGGTTTAAAGGAGACATTTATGCAAGGCCACTGACGACACATGGTTTAAAGGAGACATTTATGCAAGGCCACTGACGACACATGGTTTAAAGGAGACATTTATGCAATAGTGTTGGCCACTGAAATTTTCATGCTGTGGGACGAATAAAAGATCTCCAAATCATAATCATAAATAAAATGTATAAAATATATGGTGGGGGTAAAAAATGCTTTCTGCCTGTAACTCCCTACAAGGCCACCAGAGGGAGCAGCATCTTCAGTCAGAGCTCTCAGTGGCTCCCTATGCTGCCACCAGAGGGAGCTGCAAACACAGGGATGTGATGGTAAATAATGTAATTTCACCAAAACTTTTTAAAAGGCAGAAAATGCTCTGATATCAGAGTGCTCTGTCTCTGGTCCCTGGTCTCCCTCTGGAGTCTACCTGGTCTCTCCCCCTAAGCCTCGCTCCGGTCTTTCTCTGGTTTCTCAATGATCCCGCTCTCTGGTCTCCTATTAGTCTCTCTTTGGTCTCTCCCCCTAAGTCTCTCTCCGGTTTCTATCTGGTCTCTATCTGGTCTCTTTCTCTCTGTTCTCATTCTGGTCTCTCTCTGAACATGGAGGAAGCAACTAAAGCAGTCTTGTTTGTCGTCAAATGCATTGTCTGAAATGTACATGTGGTGGCGCTGCCTCTCAAAGCGACGCTGGCCGAGCTGCGGTACACGGCGAACACTGCCACCTGGTATTCTGTCAGCGAGTTCAGGTACTCCAGATGTACACTGTTCTGAGAGCCCAGGACCACCTGCAAGACAGAAGATAGAGCAGTTATGGAAGAGGCCTGGACAATCTAAAACAACAGAGAGACCAGGGAGGGACCAGACATAGAAACTGGAGAGAGACCAGAGAGAGAGACTAGAGAGAGACCAGAGTGACCAGAGAGAGACCAGAGAGAGAGACTAGAGTGACCAGAGAGAGACCAGTGATAGAAACCAGGGAGAGAGGCCAGTGATAGAGACCAGAGAGACACCATAGATAGATACCAGAGAGAGAGAGACTAGAGAGTGACCAGAGAAAGATCAGAGAGAGGCCAAAAAGTTATTTCAGAGAAAGACCTGGGAGAGAGTTACCAGTGAGAGACCAGAGATAGAGACTAGAGACTAGAGAGAAACCAAAGAGAGAGACACCGGCAAGAGTGAGAACCTAAAGTGCCGTTTCTGATCCTACTATTTTGAGTTTGATATTGTCTTTGTAAATCCAACCATGAGCAATAGACCAATTCCTGAATGCTCTTTAGTCACCAGATAGTTTACCGTCCATGTTTGAGTGAGCTCTAATCCTCATGGAGCCTGGTTGAGGTAGCTCTTATCTCTAGCTCCCAGTCCCTGCTCACCTTCTCCTCCGGTTGGCCTCCAGACGCTGGGTAGAAGACAACCCTGTACTTCTCCACCTCTCCAGGAGCGTGGGTCCAGGACACAGTGAAGCTCCTCGCCGTGATGTCAGAGGTCACAAGGTCAGTGGGCGGGGACACAGCAGAGGGGGGCGTGGCCGGGGCTCCTCCCCCTTTTATCTGGCGGTCCAGCTGCTCCACTCGCTCGCACACGGTCCGCGTCAAACCCTCCACGATGTCACTCATCACACTGAAGTCCGCCACGTTATACACATGAGTGTCCAGAGGGGGCGACGCGATGCCCTTCAGCTCCGCCTCGTCTGCGTTCTTCACCCCTGAAACACATACACATAAATATTGACACACACACACATTGACACACACAGACACACATTGACTCACCCAACTATACTGTATCTGTATATGTCTGTGAGTGCTTGTGTGTGCGAGTGCGAGTGTATACTGCATATGCGGGTGTATGTGTGTGTGTGTGTATAGTGTTACCAATAGCGAACAGCTCGATCCCCGCCTCCTTCAGGCTCCGAGCCGGGGGGATCACGTCGTCCTGGGACTTTCCGTCTGTGATCAGGATCCCGATTTTTGGGACTCCAGGTCTGGACCCGGACTCGGCCTTGAAGCTGTTCTCTTGGATGAAGGTCAGAGCCAGACCTGGAACAAAGGAGAACACGGATCACGAACCAGCTGCGCCCCGCCTACTGTCAGTGGGATTTACAGCCCCCAATGTAAGACCCCAATATCGGACTAAATGTCAGACTACAGCTTTTGTCTATGACATGTGCCTTTAAAACAAAAGCAGAGGGATCAGAAAGAGACCAGTGAGAGACCAGTGAGAGACCAGAGAGAGACCAGAGAGAGACCAGAGAGAGAGACCAGAGAGAGACTAGAGAGAGAGAACGTAGAGAGACCAGATGAGGACAGCTCACCGGTAAGTGTGTTTCCTCCTTTGTACGGCAGGTTCTTGACGGCGTCGATCACAGATTGTTTGGTGGAGTGAGCGTTGAGGTGCCACTCGATACGAGGATCTCCACTGTACTGAGCCAGACCTGAGACAAGCAGAGATAACACTTCATAAAAATCAGAGGACCAGGTCTAGTCCATGTCTAAACCGGTACTAAAGCAGGACCAAAGCAGGTTTTTGGCAGGTCTAAAGCAGCACTAAACAGAACTGAAGCAGTGAGAGTGTGAGAGTTTACATGGGAGAAATACCCTCACTTATTATACATGGGACAATGTTCCTCATCACTCACAGACCTGGACTTGTTTTTAGATCCATCAATGCTTTCATCATCAACTTCTGGCACAAACATGTAGCTCTGCCTTTTCTGTCTGAATTAAAAAGTTCCTGTCTCATGTCATTGTACCACTGTGACATCACACCCAGAGAATTTTTTTGCCTTTAAACCAGAAGTGGAGAGACCAAAGAAAGACCAGAAAGAGACCAGAGAGGGACCAACAAAACACCAATGAGAGACCAGTGAGAGACCATCAAGACAACAGTGAGAGACCAGCGAGAGACCAGGGAGAGGCCAGAGAGACATTGGAGAGAGGTCAGAGAGAGGCCAGAGAGAGACCAGAGAGCTCAAAGACAAACCAGAGAGAGGGACCAGAGATATTCACATTACAACATGTTTCTCATCCATGTGGAGAATTATAGACACTTTCCAACGTATTTTTCACAAGAGGTAAGTGAAGCTCATGGAACAGACCAAACTCCGACAGTGAGTGCTTTGCTCGCTCAAACACGGCTGAAGAGTATAGTACGCGTTTCTCACCAATGCGGGTTTTGTCGATGTCCACGCTGAAGGCCTTCACCAGGTTCTCTAGAAAGGTCCGCACAAGTCTGAAGTTGATCCTCCCGATGCTCCATGAGCCGTCCACTAGGATCACGATGTCTGCGATGGCCGGAGACTTACACATGAACTCCTCCACATCTGTAAGAGGACGCAAGAATAAGGACTGAAGCAGGACTGAAGGAGGTCTAAAACAGGTCTAAAGCAGGTCTAAAGCAGGACTGAAGCAGGACTGAAGCAGGTCTAAAGCAGGATTGAAGCAGGATTGAAGCAGGACTGAAGCAGGTCTGAGGCAGGACTTAAGCAGGATTAAAGCAGGACTAAAGCCGGACTGAAGCAAGACTAAAGCAGGTCTAGAGCTGGACTAAAGTGGGTCTAAAGCAGGTCTAAAAGAGGACTAAAACAACAGGTCTGAAGGAGGTCTAAAAGAGGACTAAAACAACAGGTCTGAAGGAGGTCTAAAAGAGGACTAAAACAAAAGGTCTTAAACAGGTCATGATCATGATTAAAGTTAAAGCAGGATAAATTCGATTCATAGCACTTTGATTTAGAAGACCTCATACAATTATGACCTCATCTAGTTTATGTCACATGACTTTGGTCTGGTCTCATGGGTCTGTCCTGTCCCAGAGGTTTGGAGCTGACAAGCAATCGGAATATCAGACTACGCCCCCTAGAGTTGGCTTGAGTAGGTTCCTTTCTTTCAGGATGGAAGATGGACTAAACCAGGTCTAAAGAAAGACTAAACCAAGACTGAGGCAGGAGTGAACCAGAACTGTTCCAGGACTGAACTAGAACTTAACCAGGACTCAACCAGGACTAAACCAAGACAGAACCAGGACTCTATCAGGACTAAACCAAGACTGAACCAGGACCCAACCCAGTCTACCCCAGGACTGAGGCAGACACGGGTAGAATGTTTACGTTGGCTCAGATAGGATCAAAGTTTTGACACGAAGAATTTGGTGAGAAGAAAATGAATGATGTCATGTATCAGAATAAGGAAACGTTTTTGTCAAATGTAACACACACACACACACACACACACACACACACACGCACAGGAACACAGACCAGAGAGAGACCAGAAAGAGAGAAACCGGAGAGAGACCAGAGAGAGACCATATGCAGGGCAAAACCAAACCAGAGACCAAATATTAAGCAACCAGAGAGACCCAGAGTCCTAAGAGGGACAACGGTCCAGGGTTTTCTTTTTGAATTGTTCCTTGCAGATGCAGGAGGATCTAAGGACATTTATTAACATTTATGGACATAGGTTATCTTATGTTGCATTTCCTGAGTTTGAATTGTGAACTGTTTGAATTGAACCAGAAAGGGACCAGAGCAAGACTAGACTAACCAGAGGTTCAGTCCCGAACCAGTGCGGTTCGCAGCAGTGTGAACTCAAATGTGATAATAATGTTATTTCTCAGGTCAGAACTTGTTTCACATGAATGAAAGAATGAGAGATCCTTTCATTCATCCGTCCATTTCTCCTCCACACAAGTCCATACAGAGCTGGAATCTTAAACAGAGAGAAGTACTCAATCTGGACTGAAGCAGGACTAAAGTAGGACTGAAGCAAGACTAAAGCAGGATGAACCCATAGTCAAAACTAGCACCAGGTGAGCAGCACCTCACAAGGAGGAGCAAGGAGAATCAATGACAATTTAAAACATTATTCGTTTCTGAATAACATATATAGTTTGTCACATTTAGAAAAAAATAGGTGGAACAGGGGGCGAAAGTGGCTCAGTTGGTAAAGCATTGGCCCTGAAGGTCGTGGCCGCGAACCACTGATGTCTGCTGTTCTTGGGCAAGAAACTTAACCCCACTCTGCCTGAAGCCCCCAATGAAAGATCGAGGCTATGCACTTACTGACAGCAGCCATCTTCCTGTAGACTTACCACCTACAGGATCAGTGAGGGGCTGGTGCAGCTCTGACCACCCCAACCCAGAAATTGACAAAGGGGAAGAAAATGTGCCCTGTGTGTCACTTTTCGCCCTATATAATATTATAAAGGGTGAAAAGTTCAGAGCTCTTTCTTACATAAAAGATAACATGTGAAGCATGTTATGTCTATCCATCCATCCATTTCCTTCCCCTTTGTCCATTTCTGGGTTGGGGTGTCATATATACTTTTGCTCTTAGTTAAATGAGGGTACTCCTCTCTTTTGTACTTGTCTGTCTGAAAAAGCGGCTCTAAAGATGTGACAGAAAAACAAGTGAAAACTAGGAGACCTAGACCTAGACTTCAAACTCAGGCCAAAAGAGCCAGAAACTAGAAACAAGGGTTCTATTTTCCTGTTTGAAAGATATGAACCCAAGCTTTAAGGGGGGTGTATGTGAGAGAGCGTCACAGAGATAGTTTAGTCTGGTCCTACTTCAGTCTTAGTTCAGTCCTAGTCTGGTCCGGGTTCAAATCCGTTCTGGTCTACACCGCAGAAGGTGATGAAAAATAAGTCAAACATTGCTTAATCTGAGCACATTCTAACTGTCCGATTGTCAAACAAGAACTGTTTATTTATTTAACTTTATTTTTTAATTCCAAAGGAGACATTTTTGTATCTTTTCAAAACAAGATCATTTCGCTTGTTCTATCCATTGGAAAATCAAGTTTTAAGGCAGTCAAAATGTGCTTAGGATTAGGATACATTATGCCAAATTTGAGCAATTGACTTTTTGCAGTGCAGGCCTGGTCTGGTCTGATAGATGGTCTGGGGTGAGTAGGGGAGGTCTCTGCCCTGAGGTTTGTAAACAGTGTATGTTCTATTAACAAAGAGACAAAATGAGATATATATGGAAGATTATGTTGCGTCATCAGATTGTAAAATGTTCTGGCGTGCTCTGTCTTTTGGTCTGAGCATAAAAAATGAACGCATTTGACACGTGTGCCGAATGACCCACCCATGCATCCCATAATAACACTCAAGTGCCGCGGACACATGCCTGTGTAAGATGGGTGTGTAAGAGCAGGTAGGCCCTCTGAGAATTCAAGTTTATAAAGAATACAAGCTTGCGGGCACTTCTGTTGTTTGCTATGAACTCGAACGGGATTCCGCATCCTTCGTGGTCGCAGCGTTCTGACCCGGGGCAGCTGCAGCCACTCTGGACAGCGCTTTCCACCTCCAGCGGCTGTGAGCCGCTTTGACAACAACACAACAACTTTTTTGTCGTAAAGTTGTCGTACCCAAGACCATACTGTACACGCCACAGAACTATTCTCTGCTTGTTGTGTGAGTGTCTTTGCGTAACCTGTGCACGCAATAAATACACCGCTGATGCTGGACGAGCCTCTGGAAGTGTCCATGTCAACTCCGTGTCTTCTCCCGAAGCGCAACTAAACTCTAATTAAAGCTGGGATACCTAATATTTCCACAGCCTTTATGAGACAAAGAAAAAGACGATGGAGGAGGCTTTAGCTGAAGCGGAATATGTCGAGCTGAAAAAATACTACTACTACTGTCTACTACAGAAAGACAGCATGTTACTAATGTTAATGCCATTTTATGTGGATTTATTGTTGTTATAATAAAGAAAGTACATATGTACACAATGTTGTCATTTATCTTTCCATTGAAACAACCATTTAGGGAAAAATATGGCATTATGTATCATGTACATCTCTCCCTTGTGGAATCAATAAAGTTTATCATATTGTATCTTAGGTAACTTATCCATTCCAGCTTAAAGAGGGAAGCCAGTAGAGACTGGTTAATTACAAAGTGATTATTACTATTTATTATACGGCTCCTCACAGCAGCAGTAGAACGCTCCATTAATTTGAATGTAATTTCAAAACGTTCTACCGGTCATTTTTTCTTGATAACTGACCTCTCAAAACAATAATGACCACTGCCCATGGCAACGCAATCTCTTCTTGTAATTCAGGTGTGTAGATTACTTTGCAAGTAGTCCAGCTATCTCGTCACAACGGGCTACGTCACTACTACTGTCACTGCAGAGAGAAGCTATCGGAGATAGCCACACTGAATAGCCACGAAAATCAACACATTTAATTGTTAATCGGAGAATACGTTATACATATACTTTCTTAACACACGTGCACGGAGGTTTTCAGAATTATCTGTTAATGTTTTCAAAAGAAAAATACTGTTTTATGCGACAATGTTGACATACTACTCAATGTATCATGTTGTTGTTCAAGATCTAATAGGAGGATCTTTGTTTACATCCGCGTGCGCATGCGCCCCTCACTGGTTGGCAAAAAGACAGAGCGGCACACACTGAACATGGATGTGACGAGTACTTTTAAAAGACTCAGTGGGCGAAATGCACTGTATATAAGCACTTTAACACAAGAAGATCAGAGGAGAAATAAACTCTGTCTTGGCACCAATCTGCTGGTAGACATTTATTCTTCATAGAAAACCCGGGACCCTTCACGCAAAAAGGGTCTGTGGGGAAAATCCATTTCTCGCATTTTTCAAAGTGGGAAAGTGGCCCGGTTTTTTGCCGTTGCAGTAAAGTGGTCCGCACATTATGCTGTTAATATATATATTTTCTTAAATTAATTTTTAACCCCTTAGCCCCTCCTGCTTCCCTTTCTACATTTACCGTAGGTAACAGCATAAAAGGGCAACCCGCTTTTAATGTGCGGACCACTTTACGGGGGCCGTTTTTTGCTGTTCTTTTCCGAAGGAAATATTAAAAAAAGCTTTATCTGTCCACAGCGGGCCGTACAACCGACCACACAACAAGAAATCACAATTTGATTTAGTAAAACCTCTCTCCAAACGTCTAAAACAAGCTAGCTCTATAGCATCCAGGTACCTTTCTATGCTGTTTTGCCACCCGGTCATGTGACCGGCACGGAAAAACTATAAACGATGACGTCACTCAAAGATCCTCCTTTTGTTGTATGTCTTGTTTGTTATTGAAAAATGAATAAAGAAAGTTGGATTAAACTGCCTGGACACATAAGCTTCAAGGCCAAGATCACCTGAGTGTGACAAAAGAAAAAGTGGGGTGTGCAAAGTGTCATGAGTCACTCGAAATGCTGTCTCTGTGAGGGAGGGGGGGCTGGGCGTGTTTCACCTGAGGAGGATTCCAGGTCACAATCAGGGTCAGGGTCAGAGGTCAGAGGTCAGCTGCCTTTTGGGACTCACATTCCCCAGAG